GGGCCGAACCCCACACCCTCAGTTTGGAAGTGAGAACTTAACCAATACACCATGAGGGCCCCTTAGAGAGATAAAAAACCGAATTGAGAGAGATAAGGAACCGACATTAGAGAGATGGGGAATCGAATTTAGAGAGATAAAAAACCGAATTTAGAGAGATAAGGAACCGAATTTAGAGAGATAAAGAACCGAGTTTATAAGAAAAGGAACCGAATCTGGAGAGATAAGGAACCGAATCTGGAGAGTTAAAGAACCGAATTTAGAGAGATAAGGACTCGAATTTAGCTAGATAACGAACCGAATTAAGAGAGGTAAGGAACCGAATTTAGAGAGATGAGGAACAGAGTTTAGGGGGATCGGGAACCGAATTTAGAGAGCAAAGGAAAGAATTTAGAGAGATCCTGAACCGAAATTAGAGAGATCCTGAACCGCATTTAGAGAAATAAGGAATCGAATTTACAGAAATAAAGAAGCAGAAATTAAGCAAAAATAGCTTAAGAATAAGTATACATTAAGTAGAAAGAAAGAAATAGAAGGTAGAAATAAATAAATTGAAAGCAGAAAGAAAAAAAGAACCCTAGATAATAATGAAAAACAAGCTTATCAAAAAAAACTAAACCTTGCTTGAGACCAAATAATCAAAAAGTCTTTCTCGAGGATCATTTGCGAGGGAAAAATGAAAGGAAAAATCGGGCAAGGAGTCCCAGGAGTCAGTTCATTTCACAGAGAGAGAAAGAGAAAGGCTTGTCTCTTTTTTTTCATTCGCTGAGGTGATCGTGCTGTAAAATGGAGCCCCCCTTTTCCCATTCAGTTCAAATCTCTCTCTTGCAATGATTTCTCATTCTTTTCCATTCTCATTTCACTTTCACTGGGCCACACACACACACACACACACACAAATGCACGCAAAAACATGGCTTTGATGAGTTAGAGAGCTAGAAAAATATGATATTGATGGCCATTTTTAGAATATTGATGGCATTCAATTGAACTGAATTGAATTGAATGGAAAGGATTCAATATTGATATCGAAAACTTGTTAACGTTTAAAAGTACAGTCGAATCTCTCTACGTAAATCACACGAATCGGCTATAGTTTACGTTATTTAAAGGTATTCGAATATATTTCTTGTAAAAAACTTAGCAAATAAGGCAAAAATAAAAAGCAAATAGCAAAATTATCATATCATAAGTATTAACTCTTAATTATTACGAATCATCGGATCGATTGGGTCACTATCGGCTCTTGCACGTTTTCAACGATTGACTTGTCATCATTGCTATCAGAAGAAATCGATTGTAGTTGTGAACCTAAAGAAACATCATGTAAAACATAAGTTTAACAAAAAACAATCAGTCAAACAGCTTGATGAAAGAAATAATTATCAAAATTTGCTAAAGCTTTAATAATTTTTGAATTAAGGTTATTTCCTCACAAATGTCTTTAGCTTTTGAAGATGTAGATATTCGGATTTGGTCACTATCGCCTCTTCCACGTTTTCAACGATTGGCTTGTCATCATTGCTATCAGAAGAAATCGATTGTAGTTGCGAACCTAAAGAAACATCATGAAAAGGCCAACAAAACATAAGTTTAACAAAAAACAATCAGTCAAACTGCTAGATGAAAGAAATACTGTATTTCTTCGAATAGAAGACCGGGTAAAGAGTATCATCGCGTACTCCTGCGTAGCAGCCCTTTTTAAAATTTCTTTTCTGCATAAAAGCTTTCAATGAAGTGCTATAGGGCTGGAAAATGGCTCAAAAATACCACATGAGCTAACAGATTTTTGAGCCATTTTCCAGTCCTATAGCACTTCATTGAAAGCTTTTATGCAGAAAAGAAATTTTAAAAAGGGCTGCTACGCAGGAGTACGCGATGATACTCTTTACCCGGTCTTCTATTCGAAGAAATACGGTAATTACCAAAATTTGCTAGCTTTAATAATTTTTGAATTAAGGTTATTCCTTACAAATGGGTTTAGCTTTTGAAGATGTAGATATTCGGATTTGGTCACTATCGGCTCTTCGATTGACTTGTCATCATTGCTATCAGAAGAAATCGACTGTAGTTGTGAACCTAAAGAAACATCATGTAAAACATAAGTTTAACAAAAAACAATCAGTCAAACAGCTTGATGAAAGAATAATTTCAAATTTGCACTGTGTTCATGTAAAGCATCATGTAAAACATCATGTAAAGCATCATGTAAAGCATCATGTAAAACATCATGTAAAACATCATGTAAAACATTGTTCTTTTCCTTAACATAGCATTATTTTAAACGATATAATCTGTGCCTTAGTCACTGTGATTTCCTCTAGCCATCTTAACCCTGTAGTCACAGCGTTTGCATTGGCGCATATTCCAAAGAATATTCCAATAGCATATTCCAAAGAATCGATTGATCGATCAACGTCTTCACTATCAATAAGTTGACTTCAGATAGCTTGTAATGATTGTATCGAGTTATCGTCGTCGTTATTGTTTTCGAAAAATGACGGCTCATCTTGCATACATCTCTTGAATCCCGCTTTACAGAAACAATTTGAAAGCGTAATTCCTCTTTAATGTCATTTGAAAGCGTCTCCTCTTTAATCTTATTTGAAAGCGTTTCCACTTTAATGTCATTTCAAGATTTATCAAATAAATATAGTGCATCGAAAAGATCAAATTCGAATTTGACTTTTGTGTCGACAGCCGCAATTCTTTGTTTCAACAATCCTTTTCGATATTTAACCTTCGAATTTTTGATCCATTGGTTCGATTGTCGCAGCTCGTTCGACTGTCGCAGCAGGCAAAATGAATTAAAGTTGAATGTTTGATAAATAGAGCTTCGGATGGGCTGAACAGTTATCGATAAACAACAAATATCGATACCGATAAACAACAAAATTTCCCGGTTAAATTTGATCGAATTTGAATTCCATTTTTTGAGATAATTCGATAAATAATTCGCCGATCATCCACGCCTTCGAGTTTGCTGCATAAAAACAAAGTTTTTTGACATCAGCAACGCGGCTGCTTCGATTTACCAATCACGAATAAAGGACACCTTTCCCTTCCATGTATATTTGATCCGACGAGAACATTGACTCTATCCTTGCTCTTCTTTCCACTTGTGCATCGATCCCCTTTGAAAGACAACGTCTTATTTAACGTTAACTTGTAAAAAAGAGCCGTTTCATCCAAGTTAAAAACATTCTTTGGTTCAAAGTCCTTTCATTATTTCATCTTTTCACTCCTCAACACTACCCAGATCAATTTCGGCTGCTTCTTGTTACGAAAAACAATGCCATGTCTTTGCTTCAGCTTTTCTAATCATCCATTGCTAGCTCGGAAATCGGTAATTCCCATCAACTTTGCAAGTTCCAGAGCTTTTGTTTAAAGCAAAATACCGTCCACACATTCATTGTCGCTTCTTTCATGACTTGACTTCTTTCAACCAAGCAATAAGACACTCTCCAGTCTCTCGTGTTCGCAACTCTTCACTCGTGCTCGCTTTGCCTGAGAACCGTCGTCGATTGCATCCAAAATCGTTTCTTTTCTTTTCCTCCTTTCTTTTCCTCTGCCCAGATGAATTTCGGTCGAAAAATCAATGATCGAAATTGGCTTCGATTCTCTTGCTAACTCCGTTACTCTTTTCGAAGTTGAAGCATCAAGAATTCATTTCTTTCAGCTAGATCAATCCTTGTCCGGTTCACTTTCTTTCGTTCCATTGTCTGAAAAATGTCAAATATCATTTAATAAAGAAAATAAGCACATAAGAAGAATAAAGTGTATATATAAAAGCACAAAAAAAAACATTAAAGCTCTATGTGAGTGACTTTGTTTTCTTTGTTGTTGCAAAAAATCGGGGGTGGGACAAATGCGACCTTTTTTTGCTGGAAAAGGCCTTAGGAAAAGTCGTAGAGCTTCGAAAATGTTTTCATAGAAGGGAATCGTATGCGTAGATTCCGAATTTCGACAAATCAGACCTCGCTGACACGTCAAATTTAAGCTAAAAGGCAAAAACTGCGGAAAAGCGTTAAGTTGCGTAGTTTTTGCCTTTTAGCCCAAATTTGACGTGTCAGCGAGGTCTGATTTGCTTTGATTTGTCGAAATTCGGAATCTACGCATACGATTCCCTAGTATGGAAACATTTTCGAAGCTCTACGACCTTTCCTAAGGCCTTTTCCAGCAAAAAAAAGGTGCGCAAATGTCCAGGTGCGCAAAAAAAAGGTCGCATTTGTCCCACCCCCAAAAAATCAACTTATTAAAAAAAAGACGATTCAAAGGGTACGGTATTTTGAAGAGATATCCACATTTTAGCAAAAAATTCGTTTTATGGAATAACATATTGTATATTTTCGGGCAAAATTCTTACGTTTTATAGAAATTTACGTTATAGAGAGGTTCGACTGTACATTATGCTTACCGTAAATACTGTAATAGTACCCCACCCCCCCTCGTACAGTCAGTCGAGTAGTCGCAAAAGTTTTTAGTATTTCATTGTTTGTCAAAGCACTCGTACTTCCAAAAAATACGTTTTTGGTATCAAAAAATAGCCCTGAATTTCAGCTATTTTTTGAAACCAAAACGAGCATTGTAGCTTAAACCAGTGTCAAGAAAAACGCGTCCAAAGCTAGACTACGCAACGCTCCGCACCGTCATTATGGGGGTGGGGTACTATTACAGTATTTACGGTATCTATTGGCTATTCGACTCCCGTTCAAAGTGCGCTTCTTTCTCCTGATTCCTTTTCTAAAACATTTCAACTTTCTTAACTACTGTAATTTTTTAAATAAATCGAAAACTTATGTTTACTGTAAAATACGTAAAAAAAAGTGTTGTAAGTTGAATTTTGTTGAATTTGAATCCAAAAAATTGTGCTTTTCAACTTTTCTATCAAGTGAATACCTTTATTACATCTTTATTTCACAAAAAAAAACATTCAAAAACGCAACAATATCGTACATAAACGAGTAGAACAAAAGAACAAAAGAACAAATGAGAAACTAGCTTATAATTTTCAAATCTTTCAGATCAGGTGGTTCATTTGATTGGGTGGATCCGTTCTGTTGAATCGGTTTGGGCTCTTGTGTAGAATTCGAGGAGATCGATGAGAGAATCCGTATCTGTGCTTTGTGCTTTCGCGTTTCCATCGGATCCGCTGTTTCTTTTGATGACCCGTCATTCCCGTTTTGCTCCTTTTCCTAAAGAATTTGAGATTTCATAAGATTTTCAATTTCGGACAATTGGTGGAAATTTACTACAAATAAGCCTAAGTCTAAGCTAAGTCTAAGCTAAGTCTAAGCTAAGTCTAAGCTAAGTCTAAGCTAAGTCTAAGCTAAGCCTAAGCTAAGTCTAAGCTAAGTAAGCTAAGCCTAAGCTAAGCCTAAGCTAAGCCTAAGCTAAGCCTAAGCTAAGCCTAAGCTAAGCCTAAGCTAAGCCTAAGCTAAGCCTAAGCTAAGCCTAAGCTAAGCCTAAGCTAAGCCTAAGCTAAGCCTAAGCCTATTTTCATTCTAAGTCAGCCTAAGTCAGCCTTGACCTGACTTGCAAGCCAGTCTAGCCTGGGCTCAGTTTTGTCTGGCTTTGTCATTAGCTCGCCTGGACTTGGGTCAAGGCAGACCATACCTGAAGTCATACTTGACCTACCTTCTGGCTTGGACTAGCTAAAAGATCAGCCTTAGCCTTTTGGGCTACCTGGCCTGGACTACAAAAGCCAGCCTTGGCCTAGGCCTGTTGTAAGCCAGGCCAGCCTGAGGTCAGTTTTATCTTTGGACTAGCTAAGGTCAGCCGGAACGGGACCAGATCAGACCATAACTGGAGTCAGACTTGGCCTGGCTTCTGACCTGGATTAGGTAAAAGTCTGTTGACCCTGGGCCTGCCGTTAGTTAGATTGCCAATGGCAAAATGGGCGGAGCGCGGCGCGTATAAAGGGGGCGCCCTTTGCCATTGGCAATCTAACTTTAAACTCAAATATCTCGGCGTTGGGTTGTCCAATTTAAATAGTTTTTTTACCAATCGACAGCTAAAGACTTGGCGCATCTAATGATGCCAAAAACTTTTAGATTGAACAGCCCAACACCAAGATATTTGAGCTCAAAGTTAGATTTCCAATGGTAAAGACGATCAAATGATCAAATGCTTCACAATCTCGATCTAATGAAGAACTGAGGGTGTCAGAAAGGGTGCGTTTACAACTGAGCACAAAGTCCATGCTCTTACCTCATTGCTACTCGTGCTCTGCATGCTGAAGCGTTGACTAGCCGAGCCGACGCTCTCCGTGTCCTGGAATTGATTCTTGGTATGAGAAAGATTTGCCGAACATTAGATATGCATAGATAGGCATCGTTAGATCATTTATTTAATTCTTAGCCTTATCCTAGATCTGATCTATTCACCTGAAGGCTAAGCCGGTGCTCGGAAAGATTCCCAGCGCCACTCGACGAGGCGATACTTTCAGCGTCTCGGCTGTTTCGATGATCACCTAAAATTTCTTATATATCTAGTATCTCTGAACACTGTAGAAAAACAGTATTCCTTATATTATACAAATTTATCTTAAAGCACTCACTTGATCCTCTTGAGGTGCTCCTTGTGCCCAAGGAGAGCGACTGCGCCGACTCGAAGCCGTCACCATTGAACACTGGAAGATTTTAGATATTATATGCCTAATTAGATCTATAATCTAAAATATAATCTACTATATAAAGAGACTAAGACGTCTATCTGTCTGTCTGTCTGTTTGTCTGTCTGTTTGTCTATCTATATGTTTGTCTGTCTGTCTGTTTGTCTGTCTATCTATCTGTCTGTCCGTCCGTTTGTCTGTCTGTCTATCTGTCTGTCCATCGGTCTGTCTGTCTGTCTGTCTGTCTGGCTGTCTGTCCGTCTGTTCGTCTGTCTGTCCATCTGTCTGTCTGTCTGTCTATCTGTATGTCTGTCTGTCTGTTCGTCCGTTCGTCCGTCTGTTCGTCTGTCTGTCTGTTCGTCTGTCTGTTTGTCCGTCTATCTGTCCGTCCGTCCGTCTGTTCGTCTGTCTATCCCTCTGTCTGTCTGTCTGTCTGTCTCTACGCGCTATTCCTCAGCCCCCAGAGGACCATTTGCAATGATTTTTGCGCTTTTGAATAGGGAATTATATGTAGTTGGTTTTTTTTAAAAGCACAATTCGAGTCGCACGGGAAAGTCGAACCCGAATCGTATGAGCGATAGACAGGCGCTCTATCCACTGCTCCACGGCGACAAAAGCCGTCCATCTCCAAAACATCCGGAAAAACCCACCGTTAGGCGGGTTTCTCCATTGGTAATCTATATCTTATTATCTATAGATATAGAATTAAAGATCTCCATAGATCAAGATGGTTTTTAAAAAAAACTTACAAGGCTTGTAGAGGCCCTGTGTCAGCTCGCGAATCCGTCGCACCCAGGTGTTTTTCAAAGAATCGGAGGAGGCTCTGGAATCTTTTTTTAGCTTGAATTTCAATGGATTCTTTAAATCTTAATGTTTATAGAGAATCTGTAGCTATTTGATCGATATTTTATCGATATTTGATAAGGATTTGTTCTTAAAACTAACCGCAAATCGTAGCGATTGTCATTCGATGTGGAGACGCCTAAACGAAGGCCAAATCGGGTCGAATCGTTCACGTCAACGTGTTCAACGATTGTCACCTCATTTAGCTAAAGAAATATAAGTAAAAAGCTAGATATAGAAATAGAAAAAGTGGATTTAGTATAATCTGGAATCTTTAAATAATCTTACGATAGTTTTTCAGATTATCCAGTTTTTAGAAAACTTTTGAGAGCAACTGTTTAAGACAAGATGAGCTTTAAACTCGACTTGTCTTAAACGAGAAGCCGTTTTTTTGCGGAGAGAAGCTATGCCACCATAGCTCAGTCGGTTAGAGCAGCTCGGTTGATCTATTAGGCTCAGTCGGTTGATCTATTAAGCTAAACGTCGCAGTTTCGATGCCTGCTCTTGGGAACGCTTTTGTTTTTCATGCAAATTTCATGCAAATTCTTCTACAAACATTTTTCTGCGGCTGAATTCCACTTTTCACTACCTGAATCGGTTTCCCTTTGACGAAATAGCGAACGCTTTTCCCAGCATTTCGCTCGGCTTTATCCGGAATTCTCAATCTTTTTTGCGACAATGATCGCCAGCTCGAAGAGGAAAACCTGAAGAAGTCTTTGGATTCTTTTCTTTGAATTCTTAGAGTTCTCAAAGCTCTTAGAATAACTTGCTGTTGCTCTAAAGTTGCTCTAGAGTTAACTTTTCCCAGGATAAATTTTGTGCTCTTTGAAGTGTTCTTTACTGTAAACACACCCTTCCTAGCGCACTTAATTCCACATTTTTCTCGAAAAGACAGTTGCTGATCTAGGAAAATGATGAATTAAGCACGGTAAACGGATTTGTTTACGCGTGAGTACAAAGTACACTCAAAGTTTCGTTAGAAAGTTGATCCTAGTAAGAGCTGTAAGGGCTGTAAGAGCTGTAGAGGGCTGTAAGAGCTGGAAGAGCTGTAAGAGCTGTAAGAGCTGTAAGAGCTGTAGAGGGCTGTAAGAGCTGTAAGAGCTGTAAGAGCTGTAGAGGGCTGTAAGAGCTGGAAGAGCTGTAAGAGCTGTAAGAGCTGTAAGAGCTGTAGGAGCTGTAAGAGCTGCAAGAGCTGTAGGAGCTGTAGGAGCTGTAAGAACAATATTAAAGTCGATACAAAGCTTTTGAAATTCTACAAGTGTTTGGTTTCTGCGTAGCTGCCCAGTCAAACGATATTTGAGTTCAAAGTTAGATTAACAATAGCAAAGTGACGGGCGCGGATCAGATTTTCCATCAAATGACAAAGCAATCGTTGGACAGCGACGCAAGAAATTTGAGGCAGCTTTAGAATTGTTAAGTCGAAATTTTTAGTCTGTTAAGTCGAAAGAAAAACGCTTCCAGGGCCTCCTCCGATTCCTAACAGTCTTACTAATAGATATTCAATGCTTTTAACTTATAAATAAACGACTTTTAAAAGTAAACCTGTCTCTCTTTTCCTTTTCCTTTGAAATATCGAGTGCCCGGTTCCCAAACCGTTAACGTGTCTTGCATTACGAATGGTCCAACATGTGAGAGCTGAAATTTCGACAATGAACGTACAGTTTTGGACGTACAGTTTCGTAGTCACTGATTTAATGATAATTTTGTATAAATTTAAAGAAATAAACTATTATAATCACTGCAGACAGCAGAGGCAGCAAAAGATTTCTGCTGCAAAGCCGGGAACCCATTCAAATGACTAAAACCACCGTAACCCATGTTCAGCCCCGCCCCTTTTTAAAAATGGACCTTAAATTCAGATTCCCCATAGCCGAAAACCCCTAAGAGTAAAATATCGCGCGCAAAACCTGAATACTTTGCCTTTTAATGGAGAAAACGTAATTACGAAGCGTCGTGTTTGCGCACAGACGGATGAACAGACAGACGGATGAACAGACAGACGGATGGACAGACAGACGGATGGACAGACAGACAGACGTCTCTTGTTGCGGAGCGTTGTAGCGTAGCGCGGAGCGTTGCGTAGTCTAGCTTTGGACGAGTTTTACTCGACACTGGTTTATGCTATAATGTTCGTTTCGGTATCAAAAAATAGCCCTGAATTTCAGCTATTTTTTGATACCAAAAACGTATTTTTTGGAAGTACGGGCGCTTTGAAAAAAGTGAAAAAAGGTGCGGAGCGTTGCGTAGTTTAGCTTTAAACGAGTTTTTCTCGACACTGGTTTATGCCACAATGCTCGTTTTGGTATCAAAAAATAGCCCTGAATTTCAGGGCTATTTTTTGATACCAAAGACGTATTTTTTGGAAGTACGGGTGCTTTAAAAAATGAAATACTAAAAAACCCTTGCGACTACGTGACTGTACGACGGGGCAATGGGGTACTATTACAGTATTAAGCTTCCAAAAATTAGATAATTATCATTATTTCAGTTCTCAAAACCTTACCGAATCCTTTTTCTCTAAGCAATTCAAATGAATAAGATCATTAGCACGTCTTGGCACGCCGACCACGATTTCATGAGCATCCTGGAAATTTAGATTTAGCATTAGATAGATATAGATATAGATAAAGATCTAAAATAGATAAAGATCTAAATTTGATGTTTATCTTAAGTTTTCTAAACGATCTTGAACTTTAAAAGTGACCTTAAACTCTTCGATGTTCCCTGTACAGTGTTTCATCAGTTGCTCGAGCATCAACCGGTAGCGGGTGATTCTAAAAAGGAAATGCATCAAAATCTGGCTTTTAACTGGTTTCTGTATAGCTAGATAGCTGGCAAAAAAGCTATCTAGCTATACAGTAACCTATCTAGCTATACAGTAACCGTAGTCGAATAACCATAACCACAATCGATTTTAAACTGTCTGCAAGTCAGGCTTGGCTTTACTTTGGCCTAGCTGGCTTTACTTTCGCCTAGCTGGCTTTACTTTGGCCTAGCTGGCTTTACTTTGGCCTAGCTGGCTTTACTTTGGCCTAGCTGGCTTTACTTTGGCCTAGCTGGCTTTACTTTGGCCTAGCTGGCTTTACTTTGGCCTAGCTGGCTTTACTTGCCTCTATACTTTCAAAGGATTCCCCCTAAACTCTACTTGAATATCTTTTCAATATTCAATGTTGAATATTCAATGAAATTCCCATTCAAAGAAATAGTGCAGAAAGCTAAAAAGCTAGATTTTTTGCCCTTTTTCTGCGTAGATTTTTCGTAGCTGCACCTTTTTTTGAAATTCTTGACGAAACTAGAAGATGAGTAGAAGAACTAGCTGAGTGGGCAAAGGGAAACACTTTAAAAGTACTCTAGTACTCTAGCTCTAAAAGTACTAGCATACTGGCGTACTTCTAGTAACTTGTTCTAAAGTACTCTAGCTCTAGAAGTACTGGCGTACTGGCGTACTGGCGTACTGGCGTACTGGCGTACTGGCGTACTGGCGTACTGGCGTACTGGCGTACTGGCGTACTGGCGTACTGGCGTACTGGCGTATTGGCGTATTGGCGTACTGGCGTATTGGCGTACTGGCGTACTGGCGTACTGGCGTACTGGCGTACTGGCGTACTGGCGTACTGGCGTACTGGCGTACTGGCGTACTGGCGTACTGGCGTACTGGCGTACTGGCGTACTGGCGTACTGGCGTACTGGCGTACTGGCGTACTGGCGTACTTCTAGTACCTTGTTCTAGAAGTACTTCAGTACTCCCACTCCAGTACTTTTGTGACGCCAAGCTGTGACTAAAAGCCAAGCTAAGCTAGGCTAGGCTAGGCTAGGTTAGGCTAGATCAAAGTCAGATCTGGCTTTTGTCGGTACTTTTTGTGACAATTTGAATCCAAAGAGTAATCCAGGCCAGCGGAAAAAGATGGGAAATCGTGTTCTCCTTTTTGTTTCACTAAAACGTGCCTACTTTCTACCGTAATCTTGTCTACCATTCTACCGTATTCTTCCGTTCTACCGTAATCTACCGTATTCTACCGTATTCATCCGTATTCTTCCGTTCTACCGTAATCTTCTCTTTCTACCGTAATCTTGTCGACAGAGAAAGGGAGATTTTTTAGATAATATGATAATTTTGGAAAACAAATAGATAATATGGGTTTTCATCGATGCAAACAACAAACCTTTGAATGGGTTTAATGAGAAGCGAGCCAAGATCGTCTTTAATGTCCAATCGGTGCCGGTCTTGGACAGCCTAAAGTTTTTTTTGTTGTTTGAGAGTTGTTTGACAGTTGTTTAACAGTTGTTTGACAGTTTTTTGTCAGTTGTTTAACAGTTGTTTGACAGCTGTTTGACAGTTGTTTAACAGTTTGACAGTTTAACATTTGTTTGACAGCTCTTTAACAGTTCTTTAACATTTCTATTGTTCTGCTCTTCAACAGTTAACAATTGCGCTTTCTAAAGCTGTCTCACCTTGAAGAAAAGCCTAGTTTCCGGCATGTCCAACACGTGATTATTTTGCTCTTTATTCACACAGTATTCCGTGTAAAGCTCGTTGATCAAATCGACATAAACGGTGAAACAGCAGCCAACTTGCTCGGGATCATCCTCATATTTGCTCACGTCCGGTAAAAAGCTTCTGAAAAGAAAACTATGAATGATTTTTTGGCTTTGTGAGCTTGAAAACCTTTTTTTACATTAAATTTCTGCTTATTTATTGTTTTTTTATTGTTTTGAAACCCTTTTTTTTGAAAAATAGGGTTTTCTTTTGGAATTTGCTTTAAAAAAAGTGAAAAATTTGTGAAAAAAAGGGTGACCAAGAATTACCGCAACACTACGCAACGCTCCGCACCGTCATTATACGGGGTGGGGTACGATTACAGTATAACTCCGTCCGTTCGCTTTCACAAGCTTTGATATGTCAAAATTTGGACTCTACAGGGTGACCAAGAATTACCGCAACAACTTTTTGGAAGAGTATCTGGGAAATGTCTAATTTATTTCAAAAGTGCTAAGTGTTATACAGAGAATTGTAGGCCTGAATCGTGGCTACATTTTTCTACCAAAAACATCCCGATTGAACTTCTACAACTCATTTAGCAAGCGCTTGAATGCTAGTCGACATCACTCCAGTGAATCTATCATTTCACCTCTTAGCGCTCATTCAAGCGCTTGTTAAATGCGTTGTATAAATCCAATCGGGATGTTTTTGGTAGATAAATGTAGCCAAGATTCAGGCCTACAATTCTCTAAATAACACTTGCCACTTTTGAAATAAATTAGACATTTCCCAGATACTCTTCCAAAAAGTTTTTTCGGTAATTCTGTAAACTCAAATTTTCAATAAAAACTTTGATACTTTTAAGTCGGATTTTTGAAAAAACTTTTAATATAGGTAATTTAAATTTAAAAAAGAACATACTGTGCGTGAAAAGTGAGCACTTTCTCAATGTTTCCGAACACTTCGTAGCGCCGTCCACGCAACGCGGCCGGCAACGAATTTGATGTTGAAGCCGCATCATACTCAGCCAAGTAGATCTAGAAATTCTTTTTTATTGTTTAAAATTGTTTAAATTGATCTTATTAGCTTCTTTTTATTTAATTGAAACTCGAAAACAAACCTTACAACATCGATCCAAATCATCAACATAATCGCGCTCGGATTTCAAAAGTTCTCGCATTGGTTCTCTGGAATTTGCAAGATAAGTTATTTATTCATTAATGAGGTATTTAGATTAGTTATTTAGTGATCTAGATGCAAGATAAGTGATGCTTTGAGAATTATTTATGAGGATCTATGATGTTTCATCTAGTGATCTAGTGATTTCATCGACTAAAGTAGTGTTTTTGGCTTTGCTCGAGATCGAACCCTCGACCTCTCGACTAAGAGACCAGACTACTAACCACTCGGCCATGACGGTATCAAGGTTTACTTGCAAAAATCCAGTTAACAATGTTCTTTTAACAAAAGTATTCAATTTTCTGCTTTGCTCGGGATCGAACCAGCGACCTCCCGACTAAGAGACCAGACTACTAACCACTCGGCCATGACGGCATGAAGGTTTACGTGCAAAAATCCAATTAAGAATCCAATTTAATGGAAGTACTCAGTTTTTCGCTTTGCTCGAGATCGAACCCGCGACCTCTAGACTAAGAGACCAGACTCCTAACCACTCGGCCATGACGACATGAAGGTTCATGTGCAAAAATCAAGTTAAGAACGTTCTTGACGGAAGTACTCAGTTTTTTGCTTTGCTCGAGATCGAACCAGCGACCTCTAGACTAAGAGACCAGACTCCTAACCACTCGGCCATGACGACATGAAGCCTTACGTGCAAAAATTCAGTTAAGAATTCAATTTAACGGATTCAATCCAATTTAACGGATTCAGTTAGCTTTTTGCTTTGCTCGAGATCGAACCCGTGACCTCCCGCCTAGTAGACCAGACTCCTAACCACTCGGCCATAACGACATGAAGGTTTATGTGCAAAAATCCAGTTCAAATTTAACGGAAGTACTCAGTTTTTTGCTTTGCTCGGGATCGAACCCGCGACCTCTCGACTAAGAGACCAGACTCCTAACCACTCGGCCATAACGACATGAACTCGACGCGTAAAAAAGTCACTTATCCCTCGCGATCAATTACTAATTGACAGGGATTTCTATAAACAAATCGTCACATCTCGCTTAAAAGGCTTTTCTCGAGTCTCGCCAAGATGAGCTGATAGCCGAATGGATAAGGTGCTTGGTTACAAAGCGAATTCTCCATTTCTTACTCGGGTTCGAATCCCCGCCTTGCAAAGTTTCCAATTTTTTTGGTTTAAACAAAACTAATTCGAATCTATTTTCTTTTTTCAATAAATAAAGAAAATTAATAAAGAAAAGATGCTTGGGAATAAGAAAATGAGATTGCGATCGACGCTGGGCAGACGATTCTTCTCTTTTAAGTGATTTACGCGCGCTTGTTCGCTCAAAAATCGAATGTGTAAAGAAAAATGAATAGAAAATGTTCTTAACGTAAATTCTTTGTTTATTGATTGACCTTATCACTGCCGACTCACGTATCAAATTCGTCAAACGTCGCCATTGGCACGTGAATGATTTTTGGATATTGACAGGGTTCGGAAAGTAGTAAAAGCATGGTTTAGAGAATGAATTTTGATGGAGAGTTGAAAGAGATGGATTTGGAGACGGGTTTGGAGACGGATTTGGATCCAGAAGACGGATTTGGATCCAGAAGACGGATTTGGATCCAGAGAATAGGATTCTGATTGAGTTTTTCAATTATAATAGTAATAATTATAGGAGTTAGCTGAAGATAACAGTGTAGAAGCTCGAAATTAATCTCAGTCTTGATCGAGAAGCTAGATCTGAAGCTAGATCAGAATCTAGATCAGAATCTAGATCAGAAAGTAGATCTGGATCTAGATCTGGATCTAAATCAGAATCTAGATCAGAAGCTAGGCCAGAAGCTAGATCAGAATCTAGATCAGAATCTAGATCAGAATCTAGACCAGAATCTAGATCTAGATTCAAATAGTTACAGTAGATATGCAAAAGTAGATAGCTTCGATAAATCTTGGCTTCTTGCGGTGAAAATGAAAGCGCTACACTCATAAAAGTGGTCAGTCTGATGGAGAGAAGCGATAGATCAAAAGCAAAAGTAATACCAGAGATCTAAAGATACTAAGAGTACTAAGAGGAGTCATATCGAAGTCTTTTTTTTTCACTCTCTCTTCCATGTTTTCTTTCCAAGCGTTTATTTGCAGAGACGTTTTCGGGCGATAAGCATCAGTTCTCTTCTCTTTCCCCTAATTCTTTGTTTTTTTCTTTCTTTTCTTTCTGGCTTTGGCTTGCTGAAAAAAAGCTTGAATTTAAACTAGTACACTAGCCAATTGATAAGTACTTTTTTGAAAACGGTCCAGTAGTCCAGAGCGGTCAAATTTAGAGTCCAGCTTTGCCAGTCCAATGTCCAGCTTTTCAGAGCACTAGTCAGCTCTCTGAAAGTCTGACCTGTCTGGCTTTAACGCCAACTGTCTGGCCGTCTGGCCTACTCTGACGATTCACTTGAACTGGTTTGATTCCCCCAAGTGGCTCTATATCAGCTCTATATCCCTAGATGACCGTTCAAGAAGTTTGTCAAGTGATTCACGAGAACGCGCAAAACTTGAGTAACTAAACCGACTGTGGTTGACTTCCTGCCAGACTCTATCCGGAACCGTGTGCCAGATGCAGACTTTTCCTACAAACCACATCAAAAGGTACGCAAACGTATGGGCGGTATTATAAAAGATTACGATAGCTTTCCGCCTGGTCTGGACTGGTCTGGCATGTCTGACAATTCTTACAGATCCAAGTTCTTGCTTCTTTCTGTATCAGATACATTATTTTAGGTCTAGTCTTGCTTAGGCCTTGCTTAGGCTTAGGCTTAGGCTAGGCTTAGGCCCAAGCTGGCCTGTCTCTGGTTCTGGTTCAGCTTCCTAGCTCAGCTCTGGGCCAACTTCATGGCCCAGCTCTGGCCTAGCTTTCTGGCTCAGCTTCCTGGCCGAGCTCTGGCCCAGCTCTGGCCCAGTTCTGGCCCAGCTTCCTGGTTCAGCATCCTGGCCGAGCCCTGGCCCAGCTCTGGCTCAGCTTCCTGGCGAGCTCTGGCCCAGCTCTGGCCCAGTTCTGGGTCAGCTTCCTGGTTCAGCATCCTGGCCGGGCTCTGGCCCAGCTCTGGCTCAGCCCTGGCCCAACTTTCTGGCCCAGCTCTGACCCGATCTACCCTGACCTATAGGCATTAATGTCCAGTTGAACCCTGCGAACCCTTGTGAGTTTCTGTCTTTAAAAGGAAACAGTGGACAATTCCGGTAGCTCATGTTGAGTACGAATTCATAGGATGCATAGTCCAATTGATCGTCTACCCCTAACCAATCCAATGCATGTACTTTGTGCACACAAACGCTAGCTCTTTGGCCCACTAGCATATTGCGGATTTGGTACTTTCTATAGAAAGAACTCTTTAATTGGGAAAAATCGAGCTGATGATAAATTTTAAAATCCAGAGAAAGCTTAAAATTCGCTCAATAGCTAAGCCAAACAAATTATCTTGATAATTTCGAAAACCAGAAAACTCTTACCTTTGTAAACTCTTGGAGAACTTTGCAAGAAACTTTATTTTTAGCAAATTACAAGTGCTTGGAGTTACAAGAGTTTTGAGTGGGAAACACTTGACCACTTCAAACATTTGCAAGCCGATTGATGAGCTTTTTTTTAGCATCACAAAACACTTTCAAGTGCTGGAGTTTGGCGCAAGCTTTTGATCAAAAAAAAAAAAGATTATTTCGCTGTTCTCTATAATTTGCCAACTTTCTAGACTCCCGTAATCACTCACCGAACTTTCCCATCGATTTCTTTCTTTGCTTTAAGTGTCTCTTCAACATTTGAGTCCGAATGGCGATCCAATGACAGTTCATCTCGCTGAAATTTGAAATTTAGTTATTAGAAAAGCTTAGAAAGCTATTAAAAAGCTATTAGAAAGCTATTAAAAGCCTCAGGAAGCTATTAAAAGCCTCAGGAAGCTATTAAAAGCCTCAGGAAGCTATTAAAAGCCTCAGGAAGCTATTAAAAGCCTCAGGAAGCTATTAAAAGCCTCAGGAAGCTATTAAAAGCCTCAGGAAGCTATTAAAAGCCTCAGGAAGCTATTAAAAGCCTCAGGAAGCTATTAAAAGCCTCAGGAAGCTATTAAAAGCCTCAGGAAGCAAAAAAAGCCTCAGGAAGCTATTAAAGCCTCAGGAAGCTATTAAAAGCCTCAGGGCGCATAAAGCCCAGGAAGCTATTAAAAGCCCAGAAAGCTAAAAAGCCAAAGCTTAAAGCTATTAAAGCTATTAAAAGCTTCAGAAAGCTTCAGAAAGCTTCAGAAAGCTATTAAAAGCTTCAGGAAGCTATTAAAAGCTTCAAAAAGCTATTAAAAGCTTCAGAAAGCTATTAGAAAGCTATAAAAGTCCGTAAAAGACCAAATTTCAATCAAATCTGACTTTTAAAAGTGATCAAGCTTAGGTTTAGTATGTAAATTAACTCACCGAAGAAACTCTTCCATCATTCCGCAACGCATCCTCACAAATATTGATTCGTCGAATGAAATCCTCGTATCTGAAGGTAGAATTTTAAAGTCAATAAACATTTAAATGATAGAATTATTGAGAATCTAGTTAACGATCTAGTTAACGATCTAGTTAACGATCTAGTTAACGATCTAGTTAACGATCTAGTTAACGACTCACCTCTGTTCAACTTCTTTTATGCATCGCTTTAAATCATCAACGTGTTGCGTCGTGCTCTCATCGCTGTTTATCGTCTCGTTCGCCAATTGAATGATCGTCTTGATCTCGTTTCGTTTACTCTAAACGTTTACCAAAGTAATTACCAAAGTTAGGAATTTGATTTAAGGCTTTATTTCTGTGTTTCTTGTGTTTCTGTGTTTTTTTTTCCTCTAGTATTAGACTTTCAAATTTAATAAGGATTCTTTTAAAAGCAATTACAAGTCGATTCAATTTCTACAAAACAAATTCTACTTTTCTACAACCAAATTTAATGAGGATTCTTTTAAAAGCAATTACAAGTCAATTCAACGATTCAACGTCGATTATACCTCGAGTTATCGACTGTCAAAGTTGATTGACTTCTGCAGACAAGTAAGTCAACTTTGACACTAATTTTCTCTATGTTCTTATTCATAAGTATACAGAACAAATTCTACTTTTCTATAACCAAATTTCATGAGGATCGTTTTAAAATCAAGCTCAAGCCGATCTGGCTATTGGAAGTCGAGTTATAGACTGTCAAAGTTGATCAACTTTTCCAGGTAGGTAGTTCAACTTTGACACAAATTTTCTCTATGTTCTTATACATAAGTATACAGAATAAATTCTACTTTTCTATAACCAAATTTAATGAGGATCATTTTGCAATCAAGCACAAGTCGATTCAATTTCTATATCTCGAGTTATAGGCTGTCAAAGTTGATCAACTTTTCCAGGTAGGTAGCTCAACTTTGACACAAATTTTCTCTATGTTCTTATACATAAGTGTACAGAACAAATTGTACTTTTCTATAGCCAAATTTCACGAGGATTATTTTAAAAGCAATTACAAGTCGATCTGATTACTGGAAGTCGAGTTATAGAGGAAAATAGAAGAGTTTTGTCAGTGTTAGATCGAAAAAACTCAAGAACAGATCTTTTCCAAGATTTGTATCATAATAAAGAATATTTTATTCATTTATTAGTCGAGTTTTTATAGAAAAAAGATCTAAAATTGATTATTATCTTAAAAAAAATCGAATTTTTAAGCTAAAAACTAGTCAAGTTGCAAGTAAAAAAAACCAGGGAAAATGGATTTGCATTGGATTTTTGGAGAATGAAATTGCGCTTGGCTTTAAAGACTTTAAAGACAATTAAAGTCTCTAAAGGCTTTTCTAAAGCTATCTTTTGTTTTTATCAAAAGAAACTCCACAAAAAAGCTTTTTTTCTCTTTTCTTTATCGACTCTCAAACAAAACTCTCAAAAATAGAATCGCGCATCGTTTGATCCATCGTTTGAACCATTTCTTCCACATAAACCTTCTTTAGTGTCTATTAGAAAATGATAGAGCACATTTCATTGCATAAGTTCCCGAATTTACAGAAAGTTTTCTTCAACGGTTTTCTTTAAATCAGAGTTTAAAGAGAGAAAATGGGAAAAAATGAATTTCGATGAAAAACTTCGTTTTTAATCTAATAGTTTTCATTTAAATAATCTAATTTCATTAGATTATATTAATAATTTGAATTTTGTAAATAAATAACCAAAAAAAAACCCACTTTCACAGTGAATTTGAAGCCTTTAAAGTCATCAAGGATAGTGCCGCGATCGCCTTCTGTGAGTTTCGCTCGAGCGTGTCTTGTAAATCTGAAAATGTCACAGGGATTACTGGATTACTCGATCTGTAAGCCTATTCTGCCTGTAAGCCTGTAAGCCTGTAAGACAATTCTAATTTCCAAACCTGATCAATCCAGCCTCTCCCTCGCCGGTGATCCAATCGACGATCTCTTGCCGAGCCGCGTCAGTCAACACGTATCGCTGGCAACGGTCGAGCTGCTTTTTCTTTCCGTTCCAGAGCTGAAAATTTATGTTTAAATGACTTATTTGTATAAAAATTTGATGAAAAATTGAATCTTTAGTTATCTTAGATCATAATGCTTCAGCTAACTTAGATCATTTATCAATAAACCTCCAAAATCTTTGACTGCCTCTCTCGCAAATTCTCCTTATTGGTGTTGATTGCTTCCTCGTGTCGGCTCAACATGCGCAACATCTGAAAATAAGAAATTGAGCTATAGTAAGGCTTGATTCCAGGGTATAGTAAGCCTTGATTCAAAGCTAGAGTTAGCCTTGATTTCAAGCTATAGCAAGCCTTGATTCAAAGCTAGAGTTAGCCTTGATTTCAAGCTATAGCAAGCCTTGATTCCAAGCTTGATTGCTTGATTCAAGCGTAAGCCTTGATTTCAGCTAGAGCAAGCCTTGATTAAAGCTACAATAAGTCTTGATTTCAGGCTACAGTAAGCCTTGATTTCAAACTACAATAAGTCTTGATTCAAAGCTCCAGTAAGCCTTGTTTGAAGCTATAGTTAGCCTTGATTCCAAGCTTGATTGCTTGATTCAAGCGTAAGCCTTGATTTGAAGCTAGAGCAAGCCTTGATTTCAGCTACAATTTCCCCGCACAAACCTCAAAGATCTTTGCTTGCTTTTCCCGATAATTCTCCGTATTATTATTGATCGTTTCCTCGTGTCTTTTCAGCGTTTGCATCATTTCGCGAAGACTTTCTTGCAATCGGCTTACATAACGAAGGAAAAGATTCGACGTATTCTGCGCATAGCCACACCCTGGAACATTGGATTTACAATTGTACAATTGTACAATTACAATTGCCCTTTGTACAATTGCAATTGCCCTTTGTACAATTGTCAATTGTCCATTGTACAATTACAATTGTCAATTGTACAATTACAATTGCCAATTGCCCATTGTACAATTACGATTGTCAATTGTACAATTGTACAATGCCCTCGTGTCTTTTCAACGTTGAAAAGACAATTGTACAATTGTCAACTGTACAATGTCAATTGTACAATTGTACACTTGTAAATCCATTAGAATAAAGTGCTAAAGTTTACCTTTCAAGAATTTCTCTTTGTGCTCGGTATGCTTTGTGATCAATTCAGCGACTTTTGCCGCTCGAACCGATCCACATTCGCCGATCCACGCCATGCAAAGATCCAACTCCGGACTCTTAAATGAGAATTTGATAAAGTTTCTAGTCTTTTACGTTACGCTTTTTAAAATAAATACTAAAATCAATTGCTAAAATGAAAGGCGGTAAAAAGTGACAAAAAAAAGACTATCAATCCTAATAAAAGCCCCTATTTTCACGTCTAACTTTACTCTCAAAGAACCGCTCATATCTCGATCCCAGTAGGTTTGTTTGTAATGGCTTTGGTATCAAATTAAAGTAGAGAGAATAGGTGATTTTTTTTGATACAACACTTATTTTTAGCTTAAACCAGTGCTTAGAAAAAACTGATTGAAAAGTGACAAAAAAAGCCGATTTTTCATCATTTTTCAATTGCTTTTTTCTAAGGACTGGTTTAAGCTAAAAATAAGTATTATATCTTAAAAAATTACCCATTCTTCTCTACTTTAATATGATACCAAACAAATAGAAAGAAACGTACTTGTGTCGAGATATGAGCGGTTCTTTGAGTGTCGACTTGACTACGCGACGCTTCGATAGGAAAGCACAGCTTACGGTAGTAGAGAAAAAAGCTTGAAACATGATAGGTTTGTTAAGAAATAGTCATTTGAAAATGACAATTACAGCACTCTCAACTTGGCAATTAACATAAAACTCAATTCGACAATTCTTACCGAATCATAATCGCCTTCTAATTGGTCGAGGATCGGGCCAACATGGAAATAAGTCTTGAAGCAACTCCCAGCCGCTTTCAGCAACTTGTTTCGCTCTTCCGATGCTGCTAATAAAGCTCTCCATGAGGACATCACCTAGAACGGAAGTACAGTTAGGAGAGTACAGTTAGGAGAGTATAGTTAGGAAAGTACAGTTAGGAGAGTACAGTTCGAAGAGTACAGTTAGGGGAATACAGTTAGGAGAGTACAGTTAGGAGAGTACAGTTAGGAGCATAAGTACAATACAGTACAGTACAGTACAGCTTTATCAGTCCAACAATAGGATTTCAAAAAGCTACACAACATTTTTGTGAACTCACATTCTCATTCAACGCCACGACGAGATTCCTGTCAATGGCTCTCGTTCGTATCAACTCCTCCGAGCATTGCGAGAAGATTTGCGCCGCTCGTGCGTTTTCTCTCTAAAATGAGTGGTGTATGATCTACAGAATACAGATCTACAGATTTAGCCAGAGCTTTCCAAGTGTAAGGCTAAGCCAGGCAAGAATAGAACTCGGTCAGAAGCTAAGTTTAGATCATCTAGAGTTTAGATCTCGTCTAGAAGCTCAGTAAGAACATTTTCTTCTGGCTTTAGTCCTAGCTTTAGTCCTGGCTTTAGTCTTGGCTTTAGCCCTGCTTTAGCCCTGGCTTTAGCCCTGGCTTTAGCCCTGGCTTTAGCCCTGGCTTTAGCCCTGGCTTTAGCCCTGGCTTTAGCCCTGGCTTTAGCCCTGGCTTTAGCCCTGGCTTTGGCCCTGGCTTTAGCCCTGGCTTTAGCCCTGGCTTTAGCCCTGCTTTAGCCCTGGCTTTAGCCCTGCTTTGGCCCTGCTTTGGCCCTGCTTTAGCCCTGTTTTAGCTCTGGCTTTAGCCCTTCTTCCCTGTCCTGTCTTAGAAAAGCCATGTTCTTGATCAAATTCAAAATGAAACCTCGATTTTATGCCTGAGTTGCTCGTTCTCTTCACTCATCAAAACCGTCTCGTCGAGCGTTGATGGAACCGGAGCCAACGAGAACTTATCCATCTCTTTCTCGAAGTTTTCTGGAAACGAATTTTGTCTTATCTTTGTCTAAAAGAAAGCTACGCCTCAGCTAGCTAGTTTATCGCTTAGTTTATCTAGATTTCTTTTACAAAATAGCTTTTACATTAAAATTTCAGCAAAATACTACGCCTAGCTTTTACATTAAAATTTCAGCGACTACGCGACTGTACACTCGAAAAGCCGTTGCTTTTGTTAAAGAAAACAGTAATTTGCTAATTTTCCATTCAAAACTCACGCGTCATTTCATAGGCGAGACTGCTGATTCCGTTGTATTTTCGAGCCGCGTCGATTCGCTCCATTGTTTGATTGGCTAACTGAAAAATAAAATAATATACAAGACTAAAGTGCTATTTATATAGTAGATATGGATATTTACTCTATTAGTACGGCGTAGTACTGCTGGAGGAGGAGACTGGAGGAGACTCAGAGCTCAGACTGGAGGAGACTCAGAGCTCAGACTGGAGGAGACTCAGAGCTCAGACTGGAGGAGACTCAGGGCTCAGACTCAGCTATTAGAGGTGCAGTAGTATCCCCAGCAGTACTCCAGTGAATGAGAGCCTCTTTCGACTCATCCAATCCCGTAATTGCACAATTTTTGAAAGAATGAATCGCTGTGTTCTTTGGCAAGTTACTCCAAACCGTTTAAACTCAATTGTGATTCTAAACCCAACGCTTCCATTGCTCGAGAAGCCGGGTTTCCATTTCCGGTCCTTCCTGGTACTGATTTTGGTCCATTTTGATCCATTTTGGTCTATTTTGGTCCATTTTTGATCCATTTTGATCCATTTTGGTCGATTTTTGATCCCTTTTGGTCTATTTTGGTCGATTTTGGTCGATTTTTGGTCGATTTTGATCGATTTTGATCCATTTTGGTCGATTTTGGTCGATTTTTGGTCCATTTTGGTCGATTTTTGGTCGATTTTGATCGATTTTGGTCGATTTTTGATTCATTTTGGTCCATTTTTGGTCCATTTTGATCCATTTTGATCCATTTTGGTCTATTTTGGTCCATTTTGGTCCATTTTTGATCCCTTTTGGTCTATTTTGGTCCATTTTGGTCGATTTTTGGTCCATTTTGATTCATTTTGATCCATTTTGGTCCATTTTGGTCCATTTTTGGTCCATTTTTGATCCATTCACCACTCAAGACTCGAAAAATGATCGAATTTTAACCGTAAACGATGCCTTCCAAACAATCGAGTCCTCGAAATTCCTCGAAATCTCGAGAACCGCTTATCAGAACCGATCGATGTGGGATCGGAAAATGTAGCTGACGATGAGATCTTTTAGGGGATTTGAGTGTTGAGCTTCTGGGGAAACTTTGAAAGCCGTAAATAGTCATCAACTCGACTCGCTTAGGTGCACTACTATTAGAGAAAATCCCGCATATGTACGCGATTCTTTTAAGCCACAAAACTCACTTGCATCACGCGATTCTCGCTCTCATCCAACGCATGCACAAGTTGGTTCACCTAAAGAAGAAAAGTTTAAATTCATCGATTCATCGATTCATAGGATGACTCATAGGATCGATTCATACCGTATCCATAGGGAAAGGTAATTTACTAAATAAAAACTACGGTAACTACGGTAACTACGGCTAGTTTGAGAGAAATTCTAGACAATTCTAGAAAAACAAAACATTTTGACGTCAGCAGGAGTCGAACCCGCCACTCCCTGGTGCCGACCGCTTACTAGATCAATGCTCTAACCGACTGAGCTATGGCGGCTGTGGAAACCAAGCGAAGAAATTTCAATTACTAGTCACAAACCAAGCGATGAAGCAATATTTCAAAAAGATGCTACAATTAATCCCCTCTGGAGTAAACGAGATCAAACGCGTTATGGTGTAATGGTTAGCACAGTTGGCTGGTAAGCGAAAGGTCGCGGGTTCGAGTCCCGGTGGCGCAAGAGTTCTTGATCTGCCCTATTAACTGGGCCCTTAAAACCTACAATACTTATCCACAAGTAAAGCTACGGTAGATGCCTATGCAAAGAATACAGCTACAGTATCCTACAGTACCCTTAATGAACCTACAGGAGCCTACAGTATCCTACAGTACCCTTAAGGAGCCTACAGTATCCTGCAGTATCTACAGTATCCTACAGTACCCTTAAGGAGCCTACAGTATCCTACAGTACCCTTAAGGAGCCTACAGTATCCTACCGTATCCTACAGTACCCTTAAGGAGCCTACAGTATCCTGCAGTATCCTACAGTATCCTACAGTACCCTTAAGGAGCCTACAGTATCCTACAGTATCCTTAATGCGTCTCATACGTCCGACTTTTGGATGAACCCGGTGCCGGATAAGCTTTTGATCTGTCCTAGTCTTCAACTCTACAATAGATCACACTTTAGACTTCAACTCTACAATGGATCAATCTCTTGATATTATTGATATAATCCAGTGCACTAGAGGTGATGTGTTTACAGAATTTTCACACCAAAGTACACATTCTCACCGTTTCCAAGACTCGTTCACCGCTTCTTGTGTGCAAATCACGAAGCTCCGGTTGTGATTGAAGAGCCTAGAAGTTCGAAAATGAATCACAAATGTTTCCTTTGTTTTGTTTCACAAGATTTAGTCAAATGAAAGCAAATTTTGGCTAATCGAATGGAAATTGAGCTTAGCATTACGAAATTTTCTTTAAAATCGATAAAGCAAAGAAAAAAAAAGAAAGCTTTAAGAAAAAAGCTTATTCACAAGATATAGAATACTTCAAACATTCATTTTACATACCGTAAATACTGTAATAGTACCCCCACCCCCATAATGACGGTGCGGAGCGTTTCGTAGTCTAGCTTTGAACGAGTTTTTCTTGACACTGGTATATGCTATAATGCTCGTTTTAGTATCAAAAAATAGCTGAGATTCAGGGCTATTTTTTGATACCAAAACCGTATTTTTTGGAAGTACGGGCACTTTGAAAAAAGTGAAAAAAGGTGCGAAGCGTTGTGTAGTCTAGCTTTGAACGAGTTTTTCTCGACACTGGTTTATGCTACAATGCTCGTTTTGGTATCAAAAAATAGCCCTGAATTTCAGCTATTTTTTGATACCAAAACGAGCATTGTAGCATAAACCAGTGTCGAGAAAAACGCGTCCAAAGCCAGACTACGCAACACTCCGCACCGTCATTATGGGGGTGGGGTACTATTACAGTATTTACGGTAAGTTTCTTTAAAAACTAACTTGTATCAACTCTTGCGCAGAAAGCCGAATACTTCTCACCGCTCTTTTCACCTAAAAATTCGATTTTTAGAAAACTTTGAAGCTTTAGACGAAGCTTTAGAATAGGCTTTAAATATTTAAATCCATTTTTTTTACAGTATTCAGCTATTTATTACAGTATTCAGCTAATTTTTCAAACCTGTATCGTATTTTCTCTATGCAATGGCTGCACTTTTTCAGCGTTTTGCACAAAAGTCGCCGAATTTACCATTTCTCGCATGTCGAGCTCCCAATTCTAAAGAAATTCAATCATTTTTTTCTCGTCTAGCTAGATGTTTAGATTAAATAATAGATTTAGCATTAGATTTGGCATTAGATTTAGCATTAGATTTACCCCAATTTGCGACAAAATATCTTTCCCGTCGGTGACAAAATTCGCGAACTTGACAGCGGCTTGCAAAAGGAAACGCCGACTCTGCCAGTGCTCTGTGATTCGAGAATTTCGTTGATCTGAAAAAGAATTTGACTTTAAAACTTTTCTTTGATAGACAACGAAGAGATTTTCTATGTGAATTTGAGTTTATTTTGAATTAGAATCGTTTTTTGTTGAGGCAGAATCGAGCTAGAAAGAAGAGAGCCCTTACTCGCTCTTACTCACTCCTACTCGCTCCTACTCGCTCTTACTAGCTCTTACTCGCTCTAACTCACTCTTACTAGCTCTTACTAGCTCTTACTCACTCTTACTAGCTCTTACTCACTCAGAGAAATCAGACAAAACCCAATTTGGATCCAATTAGAAGATGTAGACAGTCTATTAGCCAATCAATCATCAAAAATACGATAGAAAATAAAAAAAAAAGAAATAGAAAAGAAAATTAAGCATTGAAATACCTAAATAAACAAAAAGTCGAAGATTTAGCTGCAAAAGGAATTGAACTCGAGCAAAAATGGAGATGGTTCGCTCTTGATACAAGCCTCTTATCCACTACACTACAGAGGGAGCTTTCCGATCAGTGTGTGAACGCCTCAAATAGAAAACGAGCTGTGAATGTGAATCTTTAGCTGTGAATTTGTCCCTAGGGTTTTCAAGGTCGACGAATCGATTGACGCCATTTTATTCCATCTAACAAATGAAACTCGGATTTCATTTGCTTTTGCTATGATCTATACCAGTCTCTGGCCATTACCTAGTACTTTTTCTTACTTCCTACTTCCTACTTCCTGCTTACTTCCTACTTCCTACTTCCTGCTTACTTCCTGCTTACTTCCTGCTTACTTCCTACTTCCTACTTCCTACTTCCTACTTACTTCCTTCTTCCTTCCTACTTACTTCATTCTTCCTTCCTACTTACTTCATTCTTCCTTCCTACTTCCTTCCTCTTCCTTCCTACTTCCTTCCTTCTTCCTACTTCCTCCCTTCTTCCTACTTCCTCCCTTCTTCCTACTTCCTCCCTTCTTCCTACTCCCTCCCTTCTTCCTACTCCCTACTTCCTCCCTACTTCCTCCCTTCTTCCTCCCTTCTTCCTCCCTTCTTCCTCCCTTCTTCCTCCCTTCTTCCTCCCTTCCTTCAAATCATACCAATTTCACCCATCAATCGATTCACAGCATTGACAGAATTCGCGTAGTCGATCCCTCGTTCTTGGCCGTACCTCTGCAGCGCGCCCACGAGCTTCTTTCCCTCACTAATCGTTGTTGCATAGGCCTAAAATTTGTACAAAATACCACAGTAATCCGGGGATTTATTAGCGATTAGATTTCTCAATATTCTTTTACAATTTCGCCTCACCTGAGCCGTTCCATCACTCTCGAGCAACCAGTTTTTCTTGTTCGACTCGCATTGTTCAACCTGTAATTTTGCTGGCTTTCATTTAAATTCTTTTATTTTCTTTTAAATTTATAGCTCATTTCTAGATGGAAATTTTGTTTTATTAGAAATTTGGTTAGAAATCTCTCAAACAAACATCGGAATCAATTGCTCGATCCGCGTACTTCTGCTCCATTTCCCCGTACCACTTTGTGATCTCCATGTAGTGCGTGTGAAAGAGATACTAAAGAAGAAATTTGTTTATTTGTTTATTTGAGATCTCTTCAATCAATCTCTTCAATCAATCTCTTCAATCACTCACAGAGATCTTCAACAATTGCAGTCTTTCTTCAACCCGAGCCTTGAAGCGATCGATTCGAACGGAGAGCTCGACCACGAGGAGTTGTGTGCGCTGAGCGTCCACGATTCCTGAAGTCAACAACTTGTGATGAGCAAGGCAAAAGCAACTGTAGAGACAATGGGAATGAGGCAATGTCGCTGCAGCTCATTGGTAGTGCATTCACCCGGTAAGCGAGAGTCCCGAGAAAGCGGAAGGGTTCGAATCCTTCCTACTTCCTTCCTACTTCCTACTTCGACTTCCTACTTCGATCGCCGACCGACCATGCTTCAAGCCCTAATGGATAAAACGGACCAAAGGCCCTAACAGTTTAAGATAAGTCCCAGTCAGCTTTGTAAGGATGGCGAAAGATTCTATGGTTTGTAAGCTGTAATGTAAGAACTCGATCAAATCTAGTTTCAAGCTGGATCAAGTCAGGCTAGACCAAAACCAGGTCCAGGCTAGACCAAAACCAGGTCCAGGCTAGACTAAAACCAGGTCCAGGCTAGACTAAAACCAGGTCCAGGCTAGACCAAAACCAGGTCCAGGCTAGACCAAAACCAGGTCCAGGCTAGACCAAAAACCAAGTCCAAGCTAGCTTCTAACCTTCTATTCGCTGAAAATTCTTCTAAATCCCCGACGAATTTGTATTCCGGATTGGAGCCAAAGCTTGCCAAAAGGATAAATGCCTTGCCGAGCAGCTCAAGCATTGATCATGGACTCAAAAGTTGACTCCAAAGTCGAATTCGGTAGCTCATCATCAGATACAAAGAAATGGAAAACACGAAGATCTATTCAACTGTGCAAATCAACAAAAGTATTGGAAAAGTATCTGGGAAATTGAGAATTTGACTTAAATGCTTTGCCGAGCAGCTTTAGCATTGATCATGGACTCAAAAGTGAGAGCAAGTGACTCAAAAATTGACTCCAAAGTCGAATTCGGTAGCTCATCTAATGGATCTAATGAATTCAGGCCTCGAAACGAGATCGGTGAGCGCTCAGCTTTCGAAAACGTTGATAAAGAGTCAGAAATTGACTGAAAAGCCTCAGAATTGACGAAAAGGACAGACGGACAGGGACACAGGGTTTTCAATGGAGCTAAGCAATCCGAATCAGTTCAAAAATGTACTGGGCTTGGTCTAGAGGCCAGAACTCAGGTTGACCAGCTGAACTCGGCTGAAGGTTGATCCAGCTGAAGGTTGATCAAGCTAGTTTTTTCAGATTTTATTAGGCTTATCGTTTCGCAAGGTTTCAAAGTTTTTCGCTTAAAATTAAACATTTTTTGGGGCGTTGTTTAAAAGCTTTTTCAAGCGGACGCTCTTTAAAGGGGTCTCTCAAACGCCCCGATAGGATTCCCGAGTGGCCGAGTGGTTAGGAGGCCAAGCTGATGGTCCAATGGTCGATAGTTCAGCCCCGTCGGCGGTTTTTTTCTTACTTTTTAAAGTTTATTGTGATTTTTTTTGGCCATAAAAGGTCACTAGGCTATTGGGCCACAAGGCTATTGGGTCACAAGGCCACAAGGCTATTGGGCCACAAGGCCACAAGGCTATTGGGCCACAAGGCCACAAGGCTATTGGGCCACAAGACCACAAGGCTATCAAATAGTACCTGAGTTTATCAATTCTCTGCTGGCCTCAAAAAGTTTCTCAGCATTTGTATAAGTGTTCTGGGCGATCTGCTGAAAGCGCAAATGATTATCCCATTGTTGTTTTGCCGTTTCGTAGTTGTCACCTGAAAATTTGTCGTTTTTGCAAAACTACCGTAACCCGGCGACTTTTTACAGTAACTCTGGTGCTTAGTTACTGATATTGGTGCTTCTCATGCACTCAATTCTTTAATTTTGAGAAGAATGAGAGAATTTAGAGAGCTCATGAGAGAATTTAGTGCACTAGAAGGGTTTTGTTTTCAATTTTAAGTACAAAGTAAATACCGGATTTTCTCTAATTTATCTCTAATGCATCAGTGCACCAAAGCGAGACGAGTTGGTGGCTATTTTACGGTTTTAAAGCTTTTGTAGAAGCTCAACACTCTAATCCATCACTAGATCTCATCCTTTAGAACTAGGGATCCTTTAGATCTAGGGTAATCCTTTAGAACTAGGGAACCTTTAGATCTACGGGAATCCTTTAGAACTAGGGATCCTTTAGATCTAGGGATCCTTTAGATCTAGGGATCCTTTAGATCTAGGGATCCTTTAGATCTAGAGATCCTTTAGAACTAGGGATCCTTTAGATCTACAGTAATCCTTTAGAACTACAGTAATCAGCTTTGAATAATCCTAATTCTTTTCGAGTTTAAAGTAGTTTTCTCTAGTTTTTTCTAGTTCTCTAGTTTACTTTTCTCTAACAGTAGTGCACCCCGGTGAGCCGAGTTGAAGCCCGTTTTACAGTTCCTAAGTTTTCCCAGAAGCTCAACACTCTAACCATCGTCAAGATCTCATCGTCAGCTACATTTTCCGACCCCACATCGTTAGGTTCTGATCAGCGGTTCTCGAGATTTCGAGGAATTTAGGCGACGCAGGAATTAGGCGCAGGATTAGGTGCAGGAATTAGGCGCAGGAATTTAGGCGATCAGTGCACTACTAGAGAAACTACTATTAGAGAAAATACGGTATATACAAAAACTCGAGTCTAACAGCGAGTCTATAGCAACAACTTCTTGGAAAAGCAGCTGAGAAATGCCTAGTTTCTCTCAAAAGCGGCAAGTGTTATATAGATAATTGTAGCCCTTAATCTTGGCTACATTTCTCTAACCAAAACTTTCCGATTGCACTTATACAACTCATTTTACAAGCTCTTGAATGCAACTCACCAACGGCCATCGTTTTGTCCAAATATGGTTCCCCGTGCTGTTCAAGCCACTCAACCACCAATTGAATGTCCTTTTGAAAAGCAATCAATGCAAGCATTCGATGGAAATGAATCTAGAAGAAGTCTGTTACAATCTGTAGCAAAAGAATGTTACGATAAAGCTTTAAAATTCGAATATTGATTGGTAGAAATTACCTGTAACGAGTTGTTGGAATTTGACTGGAAAAGACGCATTTTAGCACTGGATTATTGCAGTAGTTGTGTGATTTTTAGGATTAGATATTGTTAGGATTGAATTTCTGTCATTTCTATCAGCACAATTAATTGCAGTACCCTTATAATTGTCCCCATGAAAGCCTATTGATTGATAGTTAAGAGAGTAATTGCAAAGTTGAGTGACACTACCATTATCTTACTCTTTTACTCGCTCTGACTCGCTCTTACTCACTCTTACTCACTCTTACTCACTCTAAGACCGAGCCGATCCGATAGCTTCGACTGATCGCGCTAGCTTGTTCCGATCGGGTTTTGTTGGATCGGATCGGAGCGGATCGGATCGGATCAGGACCGAGCGATCGGCTCGGCAGGTCCAACCGATCAAGCTAACTCGATCCAATCCGATCGAGCTTTATTGGATCGGATCCGATTGGATCAGGGGCGAGCCGATCCGATCCGTCAAGGCCGATCCGATCCGTCAAGGTCAAGCTAGCTTGATCCGGGCCGATCCAATAGATCCGACCGATCAAGCTAGCTCGATTCGATCGGATCCGATAGATCCAACTAATCGGGCTAGCCCGATCGGTCACCGTGTAGTTGAAAGAGAATTGGGCACCAGTTTGCGCGGCACCAGTTTGCGCGGCACCAGTTTGCGCGGCACCAGTTTGCGCGGCACCAGTTTGCGCGGCACCAGTTTGCGCGGCACCAGTTAGCGTGGCACCAGTTAGCGTGGCACCAGTTAGCGTGGCACCAGTTTGCGCGGCACCAGTTAGCGCGGCACCAGTTTGCGCGGCACCAGTTTGCGCGGCACCAGTTAGCGTGGCACCAGTTAGCGTGGCACCAGTTAGCGTGGCACCAGTTAGCGTGGCACCAGTTAGCGTGGCACCAGTTAGCGTGGCACCAGTTAGCGTGGCACCAGTTAGCGTGGCACCAGTTAGCGTGGCACCAGTTCGGGCACCAGTTCCGGCACCGTTAGCGTGGCACCAGTTAGCGTGGCACCAGTTAGCGTGGCACCAGTTAGCGTGGCACCAGTTAGCGTGGCACCAGTTAGCGTGGCACCATTTCCTAACTAACTTAACATCAAAAATTCTAAATCACCTTTCTCGCTTTCCACGCATCCGCCAATCGTTTGTGTTCACGTTGTATTGAAATAAAATGCTCTTTCGGAATGCCAGCACCCAATGCCAGATCAGAAACATTCGCATTTCGTTGAGCTTTGAAAAGATGTGAGCTGAGATCGGCCACTTCCGCGTAAACACCTTCAGCTCGATTCCAAAAACGCTCGTGTGACTGAAAATGTTAGAATCAATATTGATTTTCATCAATTTTTCATCAATTTCCACCAATTTCCATCAATTTTCATCAATTTCCATCAATTTCCATCAATTTCCATCAATCTTTCCTCAATTTCCATCAATTTCAATCAATTTTCATCAATTTCCATCAATTTCCATCAATTTTCCATTATCAGAACAATAAAGAAAAGAAAAACCAACCGCGATCGCCTCCTCGATTTGCTCATTCGAATTGCCGTCAATTGTCGCTGGGTCAACGCCTGGCGTTTGAACCCAATTCGGCAACTCAATTGAGTACTGAAACGCGTAGATTCATTCAACACAAACAAAGCAAATCTCTAAGGGATTTACGTCTCAGAAATATTAGGTACATGCATGCAGAAATGCGGATTTCAATTTTCAGGAAACAAAGTTTTTGGTGAAATTTCCATTACCGAAAGCTCAAACCAACCGATTGAGCCGCTTTATAGAAACCGATGGCCATTTTGATGAGATCTCTTCTTTTATTGACCAATTCTTTCAAATTCTCCCACTCATTGTTCACTCGAGCAGCTGCCATTTCGACCTAAAACTATTCTAAAATTAAATAGAATTTGAAAGTTAATAATAGCTTAGGCTTAGGCTTAGGCTAGGCTTAGGCTAGGCTTAGGCTTAGGCTAGGCTTAGGCTTAGGCTTAGGCTAGGCTTAGGCTTAGGCTAGGCTTAGGCTTAGGCTTAGTCTAGGCTCTGGCTCACGCTCAGGCTCAGGCTCAGACTCGCCAGTGTTCAACGATTCGGTTGTCTGATCTCAACTGATTGAACGCCAGGATTTCAGTTGTAAACACCTCTTGGACTTATTGGAATACTTTCAAGAAGTCCAAGAGGTACCCAAGGCTACTGGTTCTGAGCTAAGTGCGTTAATTGTATTCAGCACCTTTTCAAAGATCTATTTTAATCACTATTCAAATCTTTTCAAATAACGATTTACTTTATCTTTATACACAACTAACCAAAAGGCACAGCGACAACTTTTTTAAAAACTTTGGAAACGAAAAACATGCCTAGTTTCTTTCAAAAATGCTAAGTGTTATATAGAGAATTGTAGCCCTTAATCTTGGCTACATTTCTTCATCAAAAACGTTTCGATTGCACATATCCAACTCATTTTACAAGCTCTTGAATGAGCGCTAAAGAGATGAAGTGACAGATTCACTGGAGTGATGTCGACTAGCTTTCAAGAGCTTGTAAAATGAGTTGCATAAGTGTAATCGAAACGTTTTTGTTAGCGAAATGTAGCCAAGATTAAGGGCTACAATTCTCTATATAACACTTGCCACTTTTGAGAGAAACTAGGCATTTCTCAGCTACTTTCCCAGTTGTCGCTATACTTTGCGATCACCTTGTAACACAATAGCAAAAGCTGTTCCTAGAAGCGATTTGCCAAGCCAATTTCAAGCCAATTTTTAGCTTTCGACCTGACTGGCTTTACTTTTGACTCTCGCTTTTTGGCTTTTTAATAAAACCCAATTTTTACTTAATTTTGTGTATTCACAAACTTTTAACAAAAAAAATTGTCTGTTCTTTTTGGTCGTTAGAAATTTTAGGGTTTTTTGTAGCACCAATCCTTGGAATTTGACTATTTTAACTATCATTCAATGCAGAATAAGATTGCGCGTCGAATGATATCAAAATCAACTCAAAATCTAATATCCATGCAAAGTTATTGTCTAAAAACCAAAGCCCTGTCCATTATGGACAGGACTTAATCTTTTGCCTCATAACTTTGCGTGGATACAAGATTTTCAGTTCATTTTGGTATCATTCGACGCGCAATTTTATTCTCCATCAATTCTGCATGAATTCTGCATTGAATTTTATCCTGAATGATAGTTAAAATAGTCAGAATTGAAGGATCGATACTGAGAAAAAGCCGAATTGCCTATTTTGACTATTTTAACTATCATGCAGGGTAAAAGTCAATGCAGAATTAATGCAGACTCAATGCAGAATAAAATTGCGCGTCGAATGATACCAAAATAAACTCAAAATCTAATATCCATGCAAAGTTATGAGGCAAAAGGTTCAGTCATGTCCCTAATAGACAAGGCTTTGGTTTTTAGCCGACAACTTTGCATGGATATTAGATTTTGAGCTCATTTTGGTATCATTCGACGCGAAATTTTGTTCTGCATCGATTTTGTATTGAATTTTATTCTGAATGATAGTTAAAATAGTCAAAATTGAAGGATTGACACTGAGAAAAAGCCGAATTGCCAAGGACCGACAGATTTTTCGTTATTTTTTTCTGTCTTTTTAGCTGAAAACTTTCCTACATTATTATTGTTTGATAGTGTTTCTTTGTTTCGATTCTTTCTACACTCACCCGGTTCTTCATCGGCCCAATTGTGGCGCAAATGCGGCCAGCCAACGCGGCGATATTCTGACGACGATCCTCTCGAGTCTAGAATTCCAATTTTCATTCAATCTCTAGATTTCTTTTGATAATCGTAATCGTAATAATCGTAGTAATCATTTTCTTTTCAAATTCACCTCAACACTCAACACGATTTCCTCAAATTGTCTCCATTTTTCTCTTGCTTCTGTCTCGTTGGTGCCCACATCGCCCATCGCTCGTTGCAAGCTGACGCTCATCTCTCGAAGCCAGCTTAGAAGCTGAAATGATGGCAATTCATTAATATTACCGTATTTCCTCTAATAAACGCCCCCCCCCCTGACCAACTTTGGACGCTTCGTTCTCAGCCCCATTTTGAGATATCTTTATGTTTAATATATCAAAAGATAGCCCTTAATGTCTTCTATCTTTTGATATATTAAACATAAAAATATCTCCAAATGGGGCTGAGAACGAAGCGTCCAAAGTTGGTCAGGGGGGCGTTTATTAGAGGAAATACGGTAGGTTGTCCAATAAGTAATGCGTGTTACTTATTTCGAAACTATTGCGAAATCGCTTCGAGCAAATATATGCTCTTTTTAATCATCAGCATCTTGTGTTTATTTTTATATATTATTTTATTCATTTGCCTTTGTTTTATAATATTGGGTTGGGGAGAATGAGTCGGCGCCGAAAATCAAAAAAATGTCTAAAACTTCTATTCGACTTCGTCAAATAATATGCGTTTGATATGAGTAGAATGGTTAACTAATTCTCTACAAAATCACATTTAAAAGAAAATTCAAACAGCGCCTCCGCTCAAGAAAAAGCCATTTTTTCACAAAAACTACAAACTGTGATCTAGAAAAAACCATTGGTGGGATCTTCCTGCAAATTTGGCAACTTAAGTAATTGAATGTGCTCTATCTTTTTTATATAAACACCAAAGAAGGTTTATGTGAAAGAAACTGTTCAAATGATGAGTCGGACTCTTTGCCATTTTGACTAGCTGTGTTTGGGAGTCCATAAACTCCACGAAAGAAAAGCTTTGTGGAATCTCTCAAAAGTGATTTTGTAGAGAAATAGTGGATCCTTTTGATGAAACCAAACGTATATTTAAAGAAGGCTTTATGTGTGCAAAAAGTCCCTTTAAAGTTTGGCGCCGACTCATTCTCCCCAACCCAATAGATATGTTGTTTTGCAGATGAAAGACAAAAAGTTTTTTGTCCGCGCATCAATGCTGTATGATTTCAAACGAGGTAAAACTGCAGCGGATTGCCATCGAACTATCTGTGCCGCATTTGGAGAGGATTCAATTTCAATCAGTCGGTGCCAGCGCTGGTTTAAACGATTTGCGGACGGAAACGAGTCGTTAGAGGACGAGGAACGCGCTGGAAGGCTGGAATTTCTTCTCATCGAAACCAGCTTCATTCTATTATGACGGACTTCACTCTTTGCTCGGACGATGGAGAAATGTTGTTGATTGTTGTGGAGAATATATCGATTAATAAAGTTCTCTTTTGTTAATTTTGTGATATTTTAAAAATCGTGTCAAAACACGCATTACTTATTGGACAACCTAATATTTATCGTTTTTGGTGGTGAGGATTGATAATAGACTTCTTGAAGCAGGCAAAGCCTCCATTCCGCAGCAAAGCCTCCATTCTTGTTGTCTTATTGTTATTAGCATTGTTATTAGTGTACTTTATTTGTTTTCAAAGTTATTAGCATTCTAAAAGGAACTAATATTGCCATTCTACTAGCATTATATAGAAAAGAGAAAGATCGAAAAGCTCACTTGATCAGCGTCTCTTTCAAAAAGTTTCAATTCGACCGTCGTCTGCAATTCGATTCGACGATTTTCCCACAACTTGTAGACTTCGTTTCTAGATTTATAGATTAATTTATAGATTAACTTATAGATTAGTTTATAGATTAATTTATAGATTAATTTATAGATTAATTTATTTATCAAATTCATTTCCCGTTAGAGCCGCTAGATTATGGAACTTGCTCCCAAACGACATACGAGAAATTCAGTCGCTTTTCATATTCAAGAAACGTATCGATGCTTTAGATCTAGTGGCTCTTTGCCGTAAGTAATTGGCCTATTGATTTCAGTATGTATTGTATGATTAAGTATCACTGTGCATTTCTCTATGATTTCTTTCACTTTATCGTTTGAATAAAGTATTATTATTATTATTATTATTATAGATTAATTTATAGATTAATTTATAGATTAGTTTATAGATTAATTTATAGATTAGTTTATAGATTAACTTATAGATTAGTTTATAGATTAATTTATAGATTAGTTTATAGATTAATTTATAGATTAGTTTATAGATTAATTTATAGATTAATTTATAGATTAATTTATAGATTAATTTATAGAGTAACTTATAGAGTAACTTATAGATTAGTTTATAGATTAACTTATAGATTAGTTTATAGATTAATTTATAGATTAGTTTATAGATTAATTTATAGATTAGTTTATAGATTAATTTATAGATTAATTTATAGATTAATTTATAGAGTAACTTATAGATTAATTTATAGATTAGTTTATAGATTAACTTATAGATTAGTTTATAGATTAATTTATAGATTAGTTTATAGATTAATTTATAGATTAGTTTATAGATTAATTTATAGATTAATTTATAGATTAATTTATAGAGTAACTTATAGATTAACTTATAGATTAGTTAAAAGATATAAAATTATATTGGTTCAAATTGGTTTTTACTTACTTAAGAACTTACTTCAGCTGTTGTAACGATGCGACAAGGTTAGCCAAGTTTGGCAAAGCCGCTTCGAGATCCGGGTTTGGAGGACGACCATTTCGTAGCACTCTTTCTTGTACCTAATCATAACTTTTTTTATCTTTTTCTTTATCTAGATTTTCAATGAATTCAAGTCTTTTTCTTCATCTTTTCTTCCTTTTTAAAGATCTCCTCACAATTTGAGCCTTCTGTTGAATGATATCAATTGGCACATTGAGAATTGCGCGCTTTACACTCGTGGTGTGCTTTTCAATTGCCGCTTGCGCTGTCGGCACATCAACTGGCGATTCGGCTTCACAAATTTGCTGAAATAACGATCAATTTCTTCAAAAACGATCAAATTTCTTCAAAAAACAATCAAATTTCTTCAAAAAACGATCAAATTTCAATCTTTAACCCAAGATTACAGTGATTTAAGCAAAAGAAATCGATATTTAAAGCTCTATAGAAGAAAACTAACCCTTCTATGAAGCTCAAGCCTTCGCATTTCCTCAATAATACTACCAATCCAGCGCTCCAGCTCCTGAAATTTGATTTTGAACATTTTAGAGGATTTAAAGATGAGGGATTCAATGATCGTTAGAAATTTAAGGTTTTTTGTAGCACCAATCCTTCGAATTTGAAGATTTTAACTATCATTTAGGATAAAATTCAATGCAGAATCGATGCAGAACAAAATTTCGCATCGAATGATACCAAAATGAACTCAAAATCTAATATCCACGCAAAGTTATGAGGCAAAAGTTTCAGTCCTGTCCCTAATAGACAAGGCTTTGGTTTTTAGCCAACAACTTTGCATGGATATTAGATTTTGAGCTCATTTTGGTATCATTCGACGCGTAATTTTATTTTGCATCGATTCTGCATTAAATTTTATCCTAAATAATAGTTAAAATCGTCAAATTCTTAGTCAAAATAGTCAAAATTGAAGGATTGAGACTGAGAAAAAGGTTAAGCTACTGAAATTCGATTTTGAATGGGTTTTAGAGGGTTTAAAGATCAAGGATTCAATGTACTAGAAAGAACACGTTTCCAGGTTTACAAGAGCTCAAAATAGAAAGAATTCAACTCACCAATCTCGTCTCCAGCCACTCGTCATGATCGTAATAAAAAGACCCGCCTAGTTCCCTTTAAAATTGGATTTTTAAAGCAAAAGCAAAGCAAAAGCAAAGCAAATTTGTTATATTAATTACCGTATTAATTGAGTTGACTCGAAGTACTTGTTCAGAGTGTCGACGCTGATTTTTTGAACCTGAAAATGAGGTTTTAAATTTGGAAATTCGCCTGATAAGGCTTTTGAACCTGGAAAGGTCGAGTTTCAAAGTTTTCTAGACTTTCTGGACTATCTTTATTGGTTGCTAGGAATCATCAAAATGGTTTCCAGCTTTTTTTTTTCAATAAATAAAGAAATTGATAAAAAAACGGATCAAAATTGACACTGTTTATGCAAAAAAAGCATTAAAAAAAGCTATTTTTCTCAAGGAAATGCGTAGATAGACTTGCTAAACGAGAAAAATCGGTCCAACAACTCCAAGCGCTTGATCTAGCCTCCAGAGTATCGAATTCAAATGAACTTTTTTTTGATTTAAAAGCCAAGATTTCAAGCTATTTAACAATACCAATCAATTAGATTTTTCTTTTGAAAAAGTAGCTAAAAACCCTTATCGAACTTGACGAGATAAAGAGGAAACTCGAAACTTGTCTCGTCAATTTCGATAAGGGTTTTTAGCTACTTTTTCAAAAGAAAAATCTAATTGATTGGTATTGTTAAATAGCTTGAAATCTTGGCTTTTAAATCAAAAAAAGTCCATTTGAATTCGATACTCTGGAGGCTAGATCAAGCGCTTGGAGTTGTGCGACCCGATTTTTTTGATCTGTCTGTCTCGAAGTCCCTTATATATGTCGTAACGGATTATGAATTTCAGCCGATTATGAATGAGTGGGTCTATGAGCGTCCAACCATCAAGTATTTAGTTTCATTCAACGCAGAATAATTAATAATTGTGTTAAATTTTTAAAATTAGAAAGATTTGATAAAAAGAAAAAAAATTAGAGCAAAAAAACTGAGGAAACTTTGAGGCGCCATAATTTTTTTTCTTTTTATCCAATCTTTCTAATTTCAAAAGTTTAACATAATTATTAATGATTCTGCGTTGAATTTTACTAAATACTTGATCGTTGGACGCTCCTAGACCCACTCATTCATCATCGGCCGAAATTCATAATCGGTTACGACGTATATATCTTTAAAGGCGAAAAACTCAGGGTATTCGGTCTACTAAGATGAATATTCATAGCTATTGTTTCTTCTAGAGGCTTTGCTTCTATTAGAATAGATACGATATCGATTAGTTTACCTCAAATTTACAAAACCCCGAAGAAATCTGCGTTTTCAACTTCTCGCCGAGCTTGTCCGGATTGATGATGAAAACGCCCGCGATCGCCGCCCCACCATCGACCAGACACTTAAAATTCATATAAGATGCAGCACAAATTATGGACTTCTACTTGCTCATTTCATTCAAATCAAGATTTAATTCTAAACAACTGGCAAGTGTTTCTCTATTGGACAAGGCTTGTTCTTGTTGTTGAGGCTTGTTGCTGGTTGACAAGGCTTGTTGACAAGGCTTGTTGACAAGGCTTGTTGACAAGGCTTGTTGACAAGGCTTGTTGACAAGGCTTGTTGATAAGGCTTGTTGACAAGGCTTGTTGACAAGGCTTGTTGACAAGGCTTTTCTTGTTTGAATACCTTTGATGCTAGTCTACTGCAATAAGACAGACGTAGAAGATGTACTGTAAAATAGCTGCAGTAAGCTGTAAGCAGTCAGCTGCAGTAGGCTAAGCAAGCTCTACAGTAAACTACATACCAAGAATAGTAAAGGACTCAGTTCACACTTACGTTTATCGCTTTAAGCATCGGTTTCACATTGTTCCACGTTTGCTTTCCGCGCATGTCGATCACAATCATGAAGCCACGATCTCGAGCATCGTCTCTGAAAAACGATTATAAAGAAAACTGAACAAAGCTTTAGAAAAAAGATATCCGTTTTCTGTTTTCCGTTTTCCGTTTTCCGTTTTCTATCTTTAAAAACCTAAAAAATCTATTCAAAAACTCAAACTATTATTGGGTTGATGCATAATTATCCGGACTTCTTTTTGCGTGCTTGTATCTTTTTTGTTTTGAAAGCTTTTTGTCTATTTCTTTTTTTAAAATATTCGTTATTCTTTAGTGAACAAAATGCGTGTCGACAATCATATCCATCTTCGCCATATCATGCTCTACCACTTCGAAAAGGGATGGTCTGCCGCAGAGTCGTTTCGCGATCTCAAAGAACTTTTTGGTCAAGGAACAATTGGACGTGCAACAGTTTATGAATGGTTCGATCGTTTCAAGTCCGGTAACACAAGTGTTGATGATGAACCAGGAAGAGGACGGCCATCAGAATTCGATGACAAAATCCGTACAGTAAGGCAGACAGAAAGACAGACAGAAAGACAGACAGATACAGTAACCCCCCTCCCCCCTCCCCTCCCCCTCCTTTCCCGCCATTTCATTTCCCCTTTTTGCGCAGTGATTCTTTTTCGAGAGTTTTCAATTCACCAACCCAATAGATCGACAAAACAAAAAAGAGTAATTAGTAACTTGTATTGTATTGGGTTGATGCATAATTATCCGGACTTCTTTTTGCGTGCTTGTATCTTTTTTGTTTTGAAAGCTTTTTGTCTATTTCTTTTTTTTAAATATTCGTTATTCTTTAGTGAACAAAATGCGTGTCGACAATCATATCCATCTTCGCCATATCATGCTCTACCACTTCGAAAAGGGATGGTCTGCCGCAGAGTCGTTTCGCGATCTCAAAGAACTGGAGAAGCCCCAACGGACTACCACGTCAATCGATCGCTCAAAAATTGGCAAACAAATAAGATCTACAACGATTTGGATGACTTGATAGACGATGTTAAAGCGTGGATTGCCTCCAAAGATCGTTTATTCTTCGCTCGTGGAATCGATCGTCTTCCAAGCAAATGGCAATCAGTTATTGATGTAGGCGGTGAATATGCTCCAGAATAATCAATTAAACATATTTTTCTAACTATTTATGTTATTTTTTGTTAAATAAAATCATTTATAAAAGAAGTCCGGATAATTATGCATCAACCCAATAGCTTGGTAAATATGAAAGGTTATTTTTTACAAAAAATATTGCCCTGTCGTTACGAAGGACATTCCCTGTCTAGGATTTTTCTCAATAATATGTCAAAATGTGCTCATGTTTTTTTTGCAAAAACATTTTTGTTTTGAACAATATTTGTATTGTTTCAGCTCGGCAAAGATGGGTAAACAAAAATTTAAAATCAGGGCCGCCATTTTCATGCAAGTGAAACAAGAAAGCTACGGAATGCCATCAGAACATTTGTACTGTTTTTGGATGAAGCTACTCTTACTTACAAACAATGTTGTGTTTGGTACGGTCGCTTCAAAACGGGAAACGAGTCATTGGAAGACGCACCACATGGAAAGCCGCCGATTACTTTGGACGATCAGCTGTTACTGAACGAGGTCGACTTGGATCCATCGCAAAAGTGTAGAAAATTTAGCAGAAAAGTTCGGATGCACTCATGTTACCATTTACACGTTCTTGGGAAATCATATCGAAGCGGGAAATGGCTCCCCCACGACCTCACTGATGCCCACAAAGTCACACGAGTCACCTTGAGCTCTGTTCTTCTACGTAAAGCTAGCCATCGTGACTTTTGGAAGTATTTTTGACATCTGATGAGACTTGGCTTTCGTATGGAAATATTCAACTCTATGGCTGAGTGGCTGAGTTCGAAGCGGACCTCTCATTCTATCCCGAAGCCTCCGAAAAAGTTATGCTTTGTGTGTGGTGGAATGCTAAGGGATTGGCTCATTTGGAAATATTAGATAAAGGAGACACTGTTGACGGAAGACTTTATGCAGAACAAATGGGTCGAGTCGATCCAGCATTTGAGGAAAAAGAGGATCGACCCATCGAAGGTCAGATTTCTTCACGACAATGCTAGGCCTCACATTTCAAAGATCGTCCACGAACAAATCGACAAGTTGAGCTGGAAACTTCTTCCACACCCACCATACAGCCCTGATCTAGCCCCATCGGATTACCATCTCTTTCGGTCAATGAAACAAGCAGTTTCTGGACAGCAGTTCAAACAAAAGCAGGGCATCGAAAATTGGGTTGCCAACTATTTTGCCTCTAAAAATCTTTAATTTTACGAGGACGGTATTCGTGATTTGGGGCAACGTTGGAAAGAAGTTATTAATGCTTGTGGTGAATACATTTGATTTTGAAAGTGCTTAAATAAATTTTTCTGTTATGTTAAAAATGATCAAAAAAATAACCTTTCATATTTACCAAGCTAATAAAAGTTTCCTTTCAATTAAACCAATTTTAGTATCATTTGGGATCAAAAGACTGAATCAATTAGACCAAAATTAAGCTGATCAAATGGAAACTGATGGTTTAAAAGTGTAGTTTTACTTAAGTTGTTTTAATTAAGTTGTTTTCCTTAAGTTGTTTTATTTAAGTAGTTTTACTTAAGTAGTTTTAAGTAGTTTTCCTAGTTTTCCTTTGAGAAACTCACGCGCAAACCTCTCGCAAATACAAGAGAATATTCCGCACATGATCTGGGTTCACAGCCGGCTCGCGTGAGGGGAAAACGACGAGTGGATGACCCTAAAAGTTTTCGAAATTCCAGAAATTCCAGAAATTCCAGAAATTCAAGAAATAAGTCCTGATTTCAAGATTAGATAATATATCAAGAGTTATAAAGATATTATTGGTTAAATATCAATAACATATCAAGAGCTATAAAGATGTTATTAGTCAAAAACCTGTCGATCGCGACATCCGGGTAACAACGCGATTCCATCTCTTAACACATGCTCGATTACATCGGCTCGAACGGACACCTAGAAATTGAAAGCTTATAAATCAGCAAGCTTTATAAGCTCTCGTTTTATTTTGTTTTTTTATTGATTAGCTCAGTTTAATCCAGCTAGTCTAATAGCTTTGTTTAAAGGCTGAATTCAAAGCTGGATTCAAAGCTGAATTCAAAGCTGGATTCAAAGCTGGATTCAAAGCTGGATTCAAAGCTGAATTCAAAGCTGAATTCCAGCTGGATTCAAAGCTGAATTCAAAGCTGAATTCAAAGCTGAATTCAAAGGCTGGATTCAAAGGCTGGATTCAAAGCTGGATTCAACGGCTAAACTGTCGTCTAAATGTCTCCATTTCTCTGGAATTTAACTCTAGAAGATCCCTGCTTGTGATCACTGTTTGAAGTGAAAGAGGGGCAAGTCCAAGGCCAACCATATGCTGGATTTGATTGGTGTTGAGTGGGAAAGGGTTGACCGTCTGTCCCATCCCCTTTCCCATTCCCATTCTCACAGCTATGTCCACCCTTGGCACTCTCTTCAGCTCTCTCTTCAGCTCTTTCTTTAGTTCTTTCTTTAGCCCTTTCTTTAGCCCATTCTTTAGCCCTTCCTTTAGCCCTTACTTTAGCCCTTTCTACAAGCCTTTCTTCATCCTTTCTTCATCTCTCTCTTCATCTCTCTCTTCATCCTTTCCTCAACTCTTTCTCTTTCTCATCTCTTTCTTCAACTCTTTCTTCAACTCTTTCTTCATCCCTTTCTTCATCCCTTTCTTCAACTCTTTCTTCATCTCTTTCTTCATCTCTTCATTTCTTTCCCCCATCATCTCGAAACCGCATCTATGAGAGCCTCTTCTCGGCACAAATCCCCTTTCACTGATCTCTTCTACGAACTCTAAATGGAAGTCACTGTTTACACTTTCCCACATTTGGTGATGAGAAGAATTTTGCCAAGGATTTCGCCAAGGATTTGGTCAAGAATTCGATCAAGAAGGAGATTTCTCACAAAAAGGGAACTTGGAGAAAGTTGATGAAGAACTAACGAGGGAAAGGCACAGGCTTAGGCATAGGCTTACGCTCAAGTTCAGGCACAGGCTTAGGCACAGGCTTAGGCACAGGCTTAGGCACAGGCTTAGGCATAGGCACAGGCTTAGGCACAGGCTCAGGCTCAAGCTCAGCCTCAAGCTCAGCCTCAAGCTCAGCCAATACTCGCTTTCAAAATATATCTTTTAAGCTGGCTTTTCAAAATAAAATCCACTGTATCTAATAAAACTTTTTACGCTGATTCTGAATTCGGTTTTAATTTTTCTAGTGAAACCCTGAATCGTGAGCCTCAGCGTGAGATCTTTGGCATACAAAAATTCTCCGATTCGCCTGTTTAAAAGCTTTCTTCATCGCTTTCTTCAGCTCTTTCTTTAGCTCTTTCTTCACCGCTTTCTTCTTCCAAATTTAAGCTCGTAGTGGAATGGATAGTGTGCTAAGCTACAATGTCAGCATTGGGATTTGAATCGAGGTAAAACTCGGGTTCATGCTTGGGTTCATTGGATTCAAATCGGGTACATACAATTTTTTTAGTAACAAAAAACCCCGATTTCTCATCATTTTTCAATCGCTTTTTTCTAAGGACTGGTTTAAGCTAAAAAGAAGTGTTATATCTTAAAAAATTACCTATTTTCTCTACTTTAATATGATACCAAAACAATTAGAAACAAACGTACTGATGTCGAGATATGAGCGTTTCTTTGAGTGTCAACTTAGACTACGCGACGCTCCTGTAGGGCTTAGGCTTAGGCCACTATATCTTCCCACCAGTACGTTTGTTTCTACTTATTTTGGTATCAAATTAAAGTAGAGTAGATGGGTGATTTTTTGTGATATAACACTTATTTTTAGCTTAAACCAGTGCTTAGAAAAAATTGATTGAAAAGCGACAAAAAAGTCGATTTCTCATCATTTTTCAATCGCTTTTTTCTAAGGACTGGTTTAAGCTAAAAAGAAGTTTTATATCTCAAAAAATCACCCATTCTTTCTACTTTAATTTGATATAAAAGCCTGTAGAAAGAAAGGTACTAGTGCCAAGATATGAGCGTTTGTTTGAGAGTAAACTTAGAGTTTGGCAACATTTCATTTTCGCCAACCCATAATGGTTTCTATAAAGGAAATAGATAGGAAAGGTTTAAATTTTAGTTATTCGGCAGTTATTGGGCAGTTTTTCGGCAGTTATTCGGCAAAGATTGCGAATTTTTAGGTGAAACGAGGAAATTTTATTAGAAATTTAGCAAAATCTAGCGAAATTTTGCTAGATCTAGCGAAAAGAACATCAAAAATCGTATTTAATTGGCTAATCTTTGGCAATAACTCTTTTTCTTAAGCTTATTATCATCTTTTATCATATTTTAATCCTTTATTATCAGCTAATCATTGAAAATGATTTTTTAAAGTTGACCAATCTTTGATACTTTGCGTCCTGCGTCTTGCCCTCCTCCTTTGCCCTTTTTTTCAAAATTCAAATTCAAATTCAAACGAAAACCTACGAAGATTCATTTCAATAAGCTTATTTTTCATTTACGACACCCTAACTCACAAATACCGTAAAAGCTGTAGCTCTTCCTATCGAAGCGTCGCGTAGTCTAAGTTGACACTCAAAGAACCGCTCATATCTCGACACCAGTACGTTTGTTTTTAATGGCTTTGGTATCAAATTAAAGTAGAAAGAATGCGTGATTTTTTGTGATATAACACTTATTTTTAGCTTAAACCAGTCCATAGAAAAAGAAGATTGAAAAATGACAAAAAAGCCGATTTTTCATGATTTGTCAATGATTTTTTCTAAGCACTGGTTTAAGCTAAAAATAAGTGTTATATCACAAAAAATCACCCATCCTCTCTACTTTAATTTGATACTAAAACGAGCAGAAACAAACGTACTGGTGTCGAGATATGAGCGGTTCTTTGAGAGTAAACTTAGACTAGGCGACGCTCCTGTAGGGCTTAGGCTTAGGCCACTATATCTTGCCACCAGTACGTTTGTTTCTACTTATTTTGGTATCAAATTAAAGTAGAGAGGATGGGTGATTTTTTGTGATATAACACTTATTTTTAGCTTAAACCAGTCCTTAGAAAAAAGCGATTGAAAAATGATGAAAAATCGGCTTTTTTTGTTACTTTTCAATCACTTTTTTCTAAGCACTGGTTTAAGTTAAAAATAAGTGTTGTATCACAAAAAATCACCTATTCTCTCTACTTTAATTTGATACCAAAACCATTAAAAACAAACGTACTGGTGTCGAGATATGAGCGGTTCTTTGAGTGTCAACTTAGACTACACGACGCTCCTGTAGGGCTTAGGCTTAGGCTTAGGCTTAGGCCACTATTACAGCTTTTACAGTCGTTAACTTTTAACTAGATATATCTATTTGTCAAACCTCTCTATCCATATTGTGACTTCCACCGAGTCGGCATTAGGTAAAATCGTTTGTTTTGACAAAACAGAAATCCTCCGATCTGTAGCTTCAAAAATGAATAAAGAAAATCGAATAAATATTGAGGAAATAAATCTAAATTTTAAATTAAACATATAAATGTAAATTTCTTGAGGAAATTTAGAGAAGAACTAGCCGTAAAATGGCTGAAAAATGACCGAAAAAGGTTTAAAAAAAAGTAGTTCATTGCGAAATTTCTCTTCTTTTAAAGAAGAAGCGAAACTTGAAATGGTTACTTTAGTTACTTACTGGTTACTTACTGGTTACTTACTGGTTACTTACTGGTTACTTACTGGTTACTTACTGGTTACTTACTGGTTACTTACTGGTTACTTACTGGTTACTTACTGGTTACTTACTGGTTACTTACTGGTTACTTACTTTGAAATGGTTACTTACTAAGCATTACTTTAATATAATACTTTTACTTTTAAAGTATTATATGAAAGAATTAGATATTAAAGTAGGATTATATTAAAGAATTAGATCTTACAATCCTACTTTAAGATCTGATTCTTTAATATAATCCTACTTTATTAAAGTATTTGATCTGAAAGTAGGATTATATTAAAGAATTTGATGTTAAAATAGGACTAGATTAAAGAATTAGGTCTTAAAGAAGGATTAGATTAAAGAATTAGAGCTTAAAGTAGGATTAGATTAAAGAATTAGATCTTAAAGTAAGATTAGATTAAAGAATTTGATCTTAAAGTAGGATTAGATTAAAGAATTAGAGCTTAAAGTAGGATTATATTAAAGAATTAGATGTTAAAATAGGATTACATTAAAGAATTAGAGCTTAAAGTAGTATTAGATTAAAGAATTAGGTCTTAAAGTAGGATTAGATTAAAGAATTAGAACTTAAAGTAAGATTAGATTAAAGAATTAGATCTTAAAGTAGGATTAGATTAAAGAATTAGAACTTAAAGTAGGATTACATTAAAGAATTTGATCTTAAAGTAGGATTATATTAAAGTATTATTATTATAGATCTTTTGCTAAAATATTTTTTGCCTCTTTGACCCTGGAGGCTAAAAATCTCAGGATTTTTGATGTAAATCCCATGGGAGAAGGACCCTTAAAACGAAAAAGATCTAAACAAATAAGAAATATTGAATAGTATAAGAAAAATAAAGCATTAAGTAATATGCTTAAGTATTAAGTAAAATTAAAACTTTAAATATATTGGATTGGTGAATTGAAAATTGCCGACTATTTCGCGGGACTCGCAGATAAAAGAGATTCATTTAGGGATTCATTCACCTTTCCCAACTGTTCACTGTATTTGATTGGAGAAAAGGAACCAAATTTGTGGAGAAAAGTAAACCTCCCCATATATCTTTTTAATATTAGCAGCTGCCAAGCCTGCACTGTGCTCTTGTAGGAACTCATGAAGCATGGCATGACGAATATGTCCCGGTGGCAGATTGTCGAGTGCAATAGAAGAAGTGTAGAAAAATACCAAAAAATAAAAAGCTGGAAGCATAATTTTTCGCAATAATCTTGGGGAAATGTTGAAGTAACTAAAGCCCCTTTCAGCTGGTTCAATGCTGTTGTTTTTTATCTGCGAGTCCCGCGAAATAGCCCGCAGTTTTCAATTCACCAATCCAATAGGTGTTATAAACTATTGGGTTGGTGGAAAAGTCCTTTCGGAGTTTTTTGGGAGAGTACCTTAAATTTGTTCAATTTTGACGTTTTATAGCTCATCCTAAAGCTGAATTCAATACGGATCGATTGGGAAAAACCGTTTTGAGATATCTCTTTTCTAAAAGTTTTTACAGCTATTTTAGTAAAGGGCGACAGAGCCAAAAAATGGCTGTTTTCACGTTTCGTTAGTTTTTCGTGCAGAAACCTAGGCTAAAAACATGTTATTCGTGATCAGTGTCCAAAATAACCCCTAGACACAAATTTTCAGAATCTTAGCTAAAAATTTTTGACAAACATTGTCACCGGTGGAAGTCGAACCAGCGACCCTCAGATCAATAGCCTTTCTCGATTTTCCTTCGTTTAGGCTGTTGATCTGAGGGTCGCTGGTTCGACTTCCACCGGTGACAATGTTTGTCAAAAATTTTTAGCTAAGATTCTGAAAATTTGTGTCTAGGGGTTATTTTGGACACTGATCACGAATAACATGTTTTTAGCCTAGGTTTCTGCACGAAAAACTAACGAAACGTGAAAACAGCCATTTTTTGGCTCTGTCGCCCTTTACTAAAATAGCTGTAAAAACTTTTAGAAAAGAGATATCTCAAAACGGTTTTTCCCAATCGATCCGTATTGAATTCAGCTTTAGGATGAGCTATAAAACGTCAAAATTGGACAAATTTAAGGTACTCTCCCAAAAAATCCGAAAGGACTTTTCCACCAACCCAATATTTGAAAGTTGTAAATCTCCTCTACAAAATAGGTTATCTGTAGAGAAGAAAAGGAACAAAATCTGTAGAGAAAAGGAACCAAATCTCTCCCGAAAAGGAACCAAATCTGTAGAGACAACGTGTTTTAATTGATCGAACCATTGAAGAAATTTCGAGGGCGAAATGCGAGTGACGAAAAAAAGGAATCGAGTCACCTTAGGGACAAGTTTAGTGTGGTCAAAATCGAGTTAGCTTCCCAAAATTGAAGATTTAAAAAAAAGAATGATACCGTATTTACTCTATTAGTGGGGTCTCCCACTATTTTTTCAATCCCCTTCCAGACGACCCCACTATTAGAGAGGACCCCACTATTAGAGAAATTTAAAAGAACATAAAACCAAAGTTTTAAATTGAAAAGATATCAATTTTTCTCCGAAATTCTTGACAAAACAAGTTTGGCTTCATATTTTATTTAGCTTTAACCGTAACAAAACATTAACAAACAGTAAAAGAACTAATCCAAGAGATCAACAATTGATGTACCACTTTCGTTACCAATATTAGAGAGGACCCCACTATTTTTTCAACCCCCCTCCAGACGACCCCACTATTAGAGAGGACCCCACTATTAGAGAGGACCCCACTAATAGAGTAAATACGGTAACTATTGGGTTGGGGAGAATGAGTCGGCGCCGAAAATCAAAAAAATGTCTAAAACTTCTATTCGACTTCGTCAAATAATATGCGTTTGATATGAGTAGAATGGTTAACTAATTCTCTACAAAATCACATTTAAAAGAAAATTCAAACAGCGCCTCCGCTCAAGAAAAAGCCATTTTTTCACAAAAACTACAAACTGTGATCTAGAAAAAACCATTGGTGGGATCTTCCTGCAAATTTGGCAACTTAAGTAATTGAATGTGCTCTATCTTTTTTATATAAACACCAAAGAAGGTTTATGTGAAAGAAACTGTTCAAATGATGAGTCGGACTCTTTGCCATTTTGACTAGCTGTGTTTGGGAGTTCATAAACTCCACGAAAGAAAAGCTTTGTGGAATCTCTCAAAAGTGATTTTGTAGAGCAATAGTGGATCCTTTTGATGAAACCAAACGTATGTTTAAAGAAGGCTTTATGTGTGCAAAAAGTCCCTTTAAAGTTTGGCGCCGACTCATTCGCCCCAACCCAATATATATCAATTCATTAAAAAAGTCTAACGGAAATGGTGGGGTTTTCGAAGTGCCCTTTTTTGGTCACTCGCATTTCGTCCTCGAAATTTCTACAATGGTTCGATCAATTGAAACACGTTGCCTCTACAGATTTGGTTCCTTTTCGGTAGAGATTTGCTTCCTCTTAGATACAGATTTGCTTCCTTTTCGGTAGAGATTTGGTTCCTTTTCTTTACAGATTTGGTTCCTTTTCTGCTCTACAGATAGCCTATTTTCTAGAGGAGATTTACAACTTTCAAATAGTTTATAAAATTCATCGATATCAGGATATCGATGAATGTTTCTATCGTTGGAAATTTATGAAAATTTATGCAAATGTTGAAATCCGCATTCCTTATGCATGTACTTAATATTTTCTCTAATAGTAGTGCACCCCGGCGAGCCGAGCTGATGACTATTTACGGCTTCCAGAGTTTTCCCAGAAGCTCAACACTCAAATCCCCCACTAGAGCTCATCGTCAGCTACATTTTCCGATCCCACATCGATAGGTTCTGATAAGCGGTTCTCGAGATTTCGAGGAATCTAGGCGACGCTTAGGGTGCACTATTATTAGAGAAATTTGATTTGATTTTTGAATGATCTGATTCGACTCTATTCGCCCTCTGAATAAAGTATATATAAAAGAATAAATTTCAGATTTGATCTGAATGAATAATGAATAATGAAAAGTAAAAAGAGAGTGGTGAAGAGGATAAGAGTGGCAAAGAGTGAAAGGGGACAGATGGTGAATTCACGTGGATCCTCTCCTCTTCTTTCTTTCTTCCTTTTCTTCCTTTTCTTCTTTTTAGTGCTTTCTGGAAGAGAATCGGGGATTTTCGGCACTTTTACCCAAATTTAGTAGCTCTTTTCCCCTTTGCTCAATAATCTGTCCATCAATTTCAAAAGAATATTCAAAAAAAGCTTCTCATTTCAATTCAAATCTCTGAAAGAGCGACTCAAAGCAATGTAAAAGCTGTTTTTTTCGTATTAACTTTATAATACTTTTATTTATCTATCATTTATCTTTTTTGAAGCTTTTTGATAGTTCAAATAGAAATTGTTCTTAAAAGATGTTTGGATTACGATCCTGACTGATAACCAAGCTGAATCCTGGCTGATAACAAAGCTGAATCCTGATAGCAAATCCTGATTGTTAACCAAGCCAAATCCTGACTGATAACAAAGCCGAATCCTGGCTGATAACCAAGCCGAATCCTGATTACGAATCCTGATTACGAATCCTGATTGCGAAACTTAACTGGCGAATCCTGACTGATAACAAAGCCGAATTCTGACTGTGAACCAAGCCGAATCCTGATTGCGAATCCTGACTGAGTAAAAGAATTGTAAAGACTTGTATCATTGAAGAAAAGTTGAAATTGAAGAGGGAAGAGTTC